CTCCATTCTGAACTCAATCAAAGGTGCTCCTGTATGTGACTGTCCCATGGCACCCATGGGCACAGGCACACCATTCTCCTTCATTCCTTGTCTGAAGTCCAGCTGTAGGTCACGCTGATTCTGTCACATCCCACTTTGCTACACTAGCTCAAATCTCTGAGATAGGTTTGTCTTTTCTTTTGTAAATTCTGAAATAAAAGCAATGTGAATTCCTTGATCCATAATTTCTTTTATCAAAAGTAGCCCTTGGATTTTTTTCCTTTTCTTTCTTTTTTTTTTGAGTCAGGGTCTTACTGTGTTCCCCAGGGTACAGTGCAGTGGCACTCTTGAGCTTAATCTCTTGCATTTAAGCAATCCCTTCGCACCTCAGCCTCCCAGGTTGCTGGGACTGACTACAGGTGCATACCATTATGCCCAGAAAAAAAAAAAATTTTTTTTTTTTTTGAAGCGATGGGTCTCACTTTGTTATTCAGGCTGGTTTCCAACTCTTGGCCTCCCAAAGTGCTGAGATTACAGGTGTGAGCCACCACACCCAACATAGCCTTTGTTCATAGTCATTTATGTATTCTTCTAGGAAAAATATGTAATAGCAGCATAAATGTATATCCATTCAAAATGGCCATGAACAGAATCATAGGAGGCATATTATTCTAGAATTTATTAATATAATTTGAAAATCTTCTGTATTAGTTCATATAGATCTACTTTGTTGCTTTTTATTTTTTGAGACGGAGTCTTACTCTTGTCACCCAGGCTGGAGTGCAAAGGCGAGATCTTTTGCTCACTGCAACCTCCACCTCCCAGGTTCAAGTGATTCTCCTGCCTCAGCCTCCTGAGTAGCTGGGATTACACACACGTGCCACCAAGCCCAGCTAAGTTTTTTTGTATTTTTAATAAAGATGGCGTTTTGCCATGTTGACCCGGCTGGTCTTGAACTCCTGACCTCTCAGGTGGTCTGCCCACCTCAGCCTCCCAAAGTGCTGGGATTATAGGCATGAGCCACTGCGCCTGGCCTACCTTATTTTTTACCAAGAGAGTCTAGCTTTGTTGGCCAGGCTGGAGTGTAGTGATGTGATCATAGCTCACTGCACCTTGAACTCCTGGGCTCAAATGATCTTCCCACCTCAGCCTCCTTAGTAGCTGGGGCTACAGGTACACACCACAATGCTTGGCTAATTTTTAAATTTTTTGTAGAGACAGGATTTCACCATGTTGCCCGGGCTACACAGTACATATTGAACATATGTACTGTGTCATATAGACCTAACCCCATACTGACAGGCATCAGTTTTAGTTATGACAGTACTGCAATGAATATTCCTATACATCCTGGCATATCTGCAGTAATGCTTGTATAGTATATATCTGGCATGCATTATAGATTAAAGGAGCATGGGCATTTAAAATTTTGATAGATATTGCCAAGTTGATCTTTGTTTTTTTGTTTCTTTATTTTTTTGTTTTTTTGAGACAGAATCTATCCTAGGCTAGAGTGCGGTGATGCGATCTCAGCTCACTGCAGCCTCAACCTCCTGGGCTCAAGCAATCCTCCCACCTCAGCCTCCCAAGTAGCTAGGACCACAGGCATGTGTCAAGACACCTAGCTAATTTTGTTTTTTTCTTTGTAGAGACAGAGTCTCACAGTGTTGCCCAGGCTGATCTCAAACTCCTGGGCTCAAGCAATTCACAGGCCTTGGCCTCCCTGAGTTTAGATTACAGGTGTGAGCCGTTGTCCAGCCCATGTTGACCTTTGAATGGTTACACTAGTTCATTCTTCTGTGATGTTTTTCCCCAAACTTTTTTTTTGGAAAAATACTAAACTTCAGAAAAATCTAAGTAATAGTATAATGAATAGCCAAATACCTTTCACCTAGGTTTGCCAGTATTTCGACGCTACGTGTTTTCGTTTGCTCAGGCTGCTGTAACCAAATATCACAGACTGGGTTGCTTGAACAGTAAACATGTATTTTCTCATGGTTCTGGAATCTGGAAGTCCACGATGAAGGTGTCAGTCAGCAGGTTGGGTTTCCTCTGGGGCCTCTCTCCTTGGTTTGCAGATGGCTGCCCTCTGAGTGTTCTCGCATGGTCTTTTCTTGGTGCACTCACACATCTGTGTCCTAATCTCCTCCTCTTACAAGGATATCCGTCATACTGGATTAGAGCCTCCTCACATGTTCTCATTAAACCTTAATTACCCCTTCAGAGGCCCTGTCTCCAAATAGTCATGCTCTGAGGGGCTGCGGGTGAGGACTTCAACATATGACTTTGGAGGATGGAAGGAGGGGGCACAATTCAGCCTATAATACCACATTTGCTTCTCTTTTTTTTTTTTTTTGAGACAGAGTTTCGCTCTTGTTACCCAGGCTGGAGTGCAATGGCACGATCTCGGCTCACCGCAACCTCCGCCTCCTGGGTTCAGGCAGTTCTCCTGCCTCAGCCTCCTGAGTAGCAGGATTACAGGCACACGCCACCGTGCCCAGCTAATTTTTTTTGTATTTTTAGTAGAGACGGGGTTTCACCACGTTGACCAGGATGGTCTCCGTCTCGACCTCCTGATCCACCCGCCTCGGCCTCCCAAAGTGCTGGGATTACAGGCTTGAGCTACCGTGCCCAGCCCACATTTGCTTCTCTTTCCCTTTATATATATATGTGTGTGTGTATATATATATATATATGTGTGTGTGTGTGTGTGCATATATATATATATATAATGTTAATATGGTATAATTATAACAGATTTATATAATTTGTATTATTTATCATTATAAAACCATTTATAATGTAATACATTTCTTATATATAATTATAATGTATAATATGTAACATTCCTCCAAACCACTCAGAAGTAAATTGCAGCCACTCTGTTACTTCGGCATGCATCTCCTAGGAACAAGGACATGCTCCTCAGGATATATTTGATATCCTTTATTTTATAGTGCTGGGGACAGATTCCCCTGAAGCAGAAGGAGAAATGAGCATGCAGTGGCTCTGGCCCTGACTGGGGGCCTTCTCTCCAGATGGTTTTGTCCTGGCCTAGTTTTCTCCCGTCTCTTTCCTGAGTTCCAGCCCCTGAGTGAGACCTGGCATGCTTAAGGAAAGGGGCCTCCTGCTTCCAAGAGCTGTTCAGGCAAGCAGAACCTCTTGGCCTCGACTCCAGATTCTCTGGTGTTGAGGTTTGGGATCTGTGATGTATCAACGAGATGGCAGACCTCACAACTTCACCTGTTCTTTGGTCTCTCTATATCAACATGTCTCTCTAAACAGCAGACTTGTGACTGTAATTCTTTGTATTGCCTACAGTCCTTGCCTGGCAAACGCAGACTGCCTGTGTTTATTCAGAGAGTAGGGGTTACTGTCTTGGCTACCATTTTCTCTCTCCCTGTCTCCCTTCTCCTGCACCCTTGCTGGCCAGAAGTTGATTTTTGCCTGCCACCAGGAGTAATGAGGCATCTTCTTCAGGCTTGTGTCAACATCTGTTTCTTCCTTTTCTGTGGGAAAACATCACACAGGCAGCACTTTCGGTGTTTGTTTTAGTAGATAGAATCATTGTGGAAGTAGTTGCCTAGTGCTTCACTGGAGGATGTGTAGTTTCAAAACTTTTCATTTCCTCTTGTTCAGGCCGTCAGGTCTGCAGACCCAAGGTTCACACGTAAATTGGGGGAGTTCTTTGCCGTCCAAGGCCAATCAGGATGTTGCTGAATGAGTGCCCAGACATCCACTGTTACTCAATTAACAGAGTTGCTTTTCTTTTTTTTTCTTCTTCTTTTTTTTTTTTTTTTTTTTCTCTGTTGCCCAGACTGGAGTGCAGTGGTGTAGTCTTGGCTCACTGCAGCCTTAACCTCCAGGGCTCAGGTGATCCTCCCACCTCAACTTCCCAAGTAACTAGAACCAGAGGTGCATGCCACCACCTGCAGATCCTTAAAAAAATTTTTTTCGTTCAGATGTGGTCTTACTCTGTTACCCAGGCTGGTCTTGAACTCCCAGGCTCAAGCAATCCTATCCCTCAGCTTCACAAAATGCTAAGTTACAGGCATGAGCCATCACATCCGGCCATAGAGCTACCTTTCTAAAACTTAGTCCCAACACATCTTTGACTCTGCTCAGAACTCTTCGTGGCTTTTCCTTTCCTGCAGGATTCATTGCCGTTTCCTTGGCTTGGCATTGAAGACCCTCCCTCATTTGGCCCCTACTCAGTTTGTCACCCTGTTACCTGCTTTTCCCCCAGGAGGTTTCCTTGTTACCTGCTGTATTGAAGTCAAATTAAATTAGGCCAAACACACTCTGCCATGCTTTGTTCCTGTACCTATTGGCTTGTGATATTTCCCAGAACGTATCTTCTCTCTCCTCCCTGATCTATTTGCCAAACTCTTAGCCAGTCTTCATGGCTTGGCTTGACCCCATCAGTGAAGTCTCTTCGTCACTGGAAGATAGAAGACATACAGACACTTTGGTCCTTAGCCATCCCTTCGGCAGGGTTGGCCATCCTTCCCTTGCTCCATCCGTCATTCTGCCACAGACTTCCCTCTTCTCTAGCACGTATCACACCATGTTATATGTATGTGTCTAGCCCCCTGGTTTGCAAGACAACTGGTTTTACCTTTGTATCTTCAGTGCCTGGGTTGGAGTAGGTGCTTAGTAAATGTCTGAGTGGATGATGGATTTGTCCTTGGATAAGCACATCCCGAAGTTAGAAGCAGCTGTGTTGCATTTTGTTATTACCAATCCTTATCCGAGTGAGCCTTGTGTGTCACAAAGGAGAAAATACAGTTTAACACAGGTCACGAGGAGTCCTTCTCACTAAGCCGTAGAGTCCATACCAATCATCAGCAGCACAGGACCTCAGTGACCTTCGCTGGGCTTACTGTATATTGTCATGTGTTGAAAGAGAAAGTACCTTACCTTGGTTATGTACACAGTGAATAGACTGATAACCCAGCTCGTTGTGTGCATCTTGCTTTATGTTAATTTGGAAAGCTACTGATGACTGTCTTTTCTTTCAGTCAAACGCTTCAGAGAACCAAAGCATGAAAGACGTCCGTGGAGGATATGGTATGTGTTTAGGTATTAACTCATTCTGGAGTGCTTTTGACTATGTTGGGGGTCTTGGGGGTGGGGGTGGGAATGGCATGGAACGTGAGCAATGATATGTAATGTATCTGGAATCCCTGAGTTAAATCCATCAGGAACTATGTATATTATGAAAGGATTTCTGTTTCTCCAGGTAACTTTTGATCCTACCTTTATTTTAGAATCACTCTGCTTCCACTTCTGAAAGACGGAAGATACACAAATACATCAGTCCCTGATGCTGCCTCCTTCATCTGTGTCTACTTGTTGTTAGATTTGGTTTAAATTCCTAGATTCCGTAGTGTATATGTGCAAGCAAAAACTAACCTAGATTTGGAGATCAGTCAAACATAGCATATAAATGCTCCTCTCTCCAAAAGAAGTCTTTCTTGGTCTTAGCATAAAGGAAAACTATTTCTCTACTAAAAATACTTCTAACACCAAATATATGATGGTTCTCTTTCCCCAACATCCACCAGTTTTCCAACTCTGCAAATACCGCTTGGTTGTCCCATAATTTAATTCACTTCTGACACTTAACTCCCTGGAGTTAAAACAGAATCCACAGGTTAAGGGCTCAGTCCCACAAACTACCCCCTTCTTCAGATGCCAGTTGCAAGTAGTCGGGTCCTCAGACCATCCACATTTCTGTCTAATTTGGCTATAAAGTCAGGGGTTCCCATGACCCCCACTTCCCTGCTAAGGTTCATTGATTTGCTAGAATGACTCATAAAACTCAGGGAAACATTTACTTACATTTACTGGTTTATTATAAAGGATACAGGTGAACAGCTAAATGAAGAGGTGCACAGGACTAGATCCAGAAGGATCCTGAGCACAGAAATTAAGGTATGCCCCTCCCGGAATGCAGACGTGTTCACCAGCCTGGAAGCACTCCAAATCCCATTGTTTAGGGATTTTTATGGAGGGTTCATCATGGAGGCATGATTGATTATTAACTCAGTCTCCAGCCCCTCCATTCTCCCTGGAGGATGAGCAATTAGGGCTGAAAGTTCAAAGTTTCCTTTTTTGTTTTTTTTGAGACGGAGTTTCACTCTTGTTACCCAGGTTGGAGTGCAATGGCGCGATCTCGGCTCACCACAACCTCCGCCTCCTGGGTTCAGGCAATTCTCCTGCCTCAGCCTCCTGAGTAGCTGGGATTACAGGCACACGCCACCATGCCCAGCTAATTTTTTGTGTTTTTAGTAGAGACAGGGTTTCACCATGTTGACCAGGATGGTCTCAATCTCTTGACCTCGTGATCCACCCGCCTCGGCCTCCCAAAGTGCTGGGATTACAGGCGTGAGCAACCGCGCCTGGCCCGAAAGTTCAAAGTTTCTAAACTTGACTTGGTCTTTTTGGTGACTAGCCCATCCTGAAGCTATCCAGGAACCCACTAAGACTTGATTCATTAGAGTAAAAGGCTCCAGTCTTCCAGGAAATTCCATGGGGTTTAGGTGCTCATATCAGGACCAAGGCCAGAGACCAAATACTAGAACAAAAACTCCTCTTAGCACCTCTGTAACTCAGGAGATTACAAGTGTTTTAGGAGCTCTGTGTCGGAAACCAGGACAGAGACCAAACATATATATTTCTTATATAGACTTTGATACATATCAAACACGTATTTATTTCACAGAGGATGATCCTGCGGTCTCAGTTTTTCCTTTGGAAAATAGTGGTAAAGCTTCAGAAGTAGATTCTAAAGACAAAACTCCAAACTAATACATCACTTAAAAGAAGCAGCTTTTCAGGACAGCACCATGTCCACAAGAAGCTGCCTGTTTTAGACTGCTGCCTTGGGCTTTCACCTTTCCTAACAAAATAATCATTTTCTCCTTCAGAGGAAACATCAATAATCACTCTGATAAAATTTTAAAACATGTACTTGTTCTTAAATGTGTTGCTGCCGAATGTTGATAATTCTTTTATTTTCCATTGATTTTTCTCAAACCCCATTAACTTTAGAATATGTGACTCCCACCTCAGGGCTGGGGCAGGATCTGGTAAAGACCTAGATTTTGGGATTTCTGTGTCTTACATACATTGTCTTTTGGTGACTCCTCTTTCCAATGAGTGTAGGGAATGATTTTTCAGACACTGTCACTGGTCAGTCTGGATAATCTCTGCAGTCCTGAGACCCTGCCCAGCTGGGAGGCTGTGAGAGGCAGCCATGTCCAAGAGGATCCTCGACCACAGAGGAGAGTGGCTGCCTGGTGCTGGTGACAGAGGACATACTGAAGGCATACGCTATCTCCACTATCCTGCTACATAGGTGGAGGGATAGCTCCTCCCAGATATTAATGCCCTTGTTTTTTCTTTTTTGAAATGCTTGTCATCTAGTCCAGGGACTGGCACACTGCAGCCCACAGGCCCTGTGTGTATGGTTGGAATAGCTGTGTCTGTGTCTGCTGTCATTCCCCAGCAGCAGGGCTGAGGAGTTGAGACAGAGATCTTACGGTACACAAAACCTCAAATATTTATTCTTTGGTCCTTTACAGAAAACATTTTCCTACCCTGATCCAGCCCATTGTTTAAACTGCAGCAGCTGAAATTTCTTTAGGGATCCAGCTGCAGTACTGGATTTGTGCAAGTGTTGTTAATTTTGCAGGTAATTTAGCTCATTGTGAGTGAAATTGAATGGGAACTCTTTAAAACAGAGGCACCTTGGGCTTCATCACAAAGCGGTGATTGAGCATTTTATTTTGAAGCAAGAAAATGCTCAAAATAAAATGAAAATGAAAATTTTAAAAAATGTATTTTAGATATCAATCCTTGATATCTAAATCCTTGATACCTTTTAGGGATTTCAAAGGCAGTGTTATTGAAGGCTTTGAAAGGTGGCTGAGATGCCAAGCCTGAGTTAGTACTGAAGACCCCAGGAAGAGATGACCAGTGATTGGAAGGTTGGGGTGGCTTTTTTCCTATTTCAGACTTCTCATTTTCCTCAAATTAGGTATGGCCCTTCTGTCAGGCTGATAACCAGTGCTGGTTTTATTTTGTACAGGTTTTTAGATACTTCCAAACAAGCCATAGGAATGCTGTTCATCCACTTTGCAAATGTATACCTAGCAGATCTCACTGAAGAGGACCCTTGTTCACTGTAAGTGGCCCCTATTTGAGTGCAAACAACAGCTGCCCCTCCATTGAAAACACAGGCTGGCCTTGCTTTCTGCTGCTGGTCCCATTCCCTCTGGATTGGGAAAGAGTGCTCCCCTTTTCCTCTGTGCTCCTCTGAGAGACCGTCCTGTGTATGCTGTCCTGGAGCTCACATGCACAGCTGTCAGCTGGCTCATAGGGCTTTGCATGGTGACACTTTTCCCCAAGCACTGGCTTTCTGCTCATCAATCCAAGTTCTGTCCTTTGATTTTCTAGTGTCCTTATGTCTCCCAGTTTCCAAGCAGCCCCTGGCAAGGAAGGATAATGCCCTACAGGAGTGTCTCTACACTGGAACCAGGACTCACCAGGGCTTCTCTGTGGTGTCAGCCATTCAGGGTCAAAACTGTTGTTGACCATCATTGACCTCTTTAACCTACAGACCATAGATTGTTCCACCTTATCACTGATGTGCCTTCCATGCAGCCCCCAGAGAAATCCATCTGTGACCTCAATCCGCCCATTATATTCTGTCCTCCTTACTGATGGCACCTAAATGGTGCCTCTCTTAGCAGGTGGAGTGGCAGAGGAGGCTTGCCTACCTCATCCTGACCCTGTCTTCCTCCTACCTTGGTCCTCATAGCAGCCTGCCATATATTAATAGAGACTTTGATTATCTCCATTTTATAGTTGGGGAACTGAGGCAGAGAGGTTCTATATACTGTAAGTTCACACCTTTCAGGAGTCACAGAGCCCAGCCAATCTGGCTCCTTGACCCTCATGATGCTTTGCTCTCTGCCAGAATCACCTGTGTTGAGTATGGAACATAGAACTTTCTTTATTCCCAAGGCATGGCACACAGTAGGCTCGTAAATGTTTGCTGAGTGAATGAATGAAAGTAAGGCCTGTATGTATATCACATGTCCTTGTTCTCCTGGAAGGCATGAGATGCTCTGGACACAAATTAGACTTAAGTGTCTGAGAGCAGCATAGCCTCAGGCCAGAGACAAATTTCCTTGGAAGCAATTGCTGCTCCTGCCATCTCTGGTCTGAGAGTGACCCCTTGTGATTTTACAGAGGAAGGGCAGGCAGGAGAAATGTCTCCCTTGCACTGGTTTTCCCGCTGACCCACCCTAGCATAGGGTGCACCCTCTGACATCAGAGTGCTGTGCACGCCACCAAAGCCCCAGCCCAGCATAGGAGGCTGTGAGGCTGCGCAAAATGTCTCAAGCCTCAGTAACTGAAAAGCTCACCACAGGTGGGTCATGTGGTGTCCTGGAGCTTATCTGCAAGGATTTCAGAGCCACATGGTATCACAGAGGGTCAGTACTGGACCCAGTGCCCTTGTCTTCCTCTCTGTCTGCCATAGAGAGCTGGGGCTTATGGTCAGCAGGGCTCAGCTGGATCAGGTACAAGGCCCTCAAGAGAGGATGAGTGGCAAAGGGCCTTTCTTTGGTGAGGGAAAAGATTTTGTGTCAGATGAAAACAGACCTTACAAGAACACAGTCCATGTGGCATGTCCTTCATAGCTTACTCCTGTCTTCCCCAGTTATTTTGCCTTTTCCCACGGGGAGTAAAGGTCCCTCTTTAAAGTGTAGGCCAGGCGTGGTGGCTCAGGCCTGTAATCCAAGCACTTTGGGAGGCCAAGGCGGGTGGATCACTTGAGGCTGGGAGTTCGAGACCAGCCAACATGATGAAACCCTGTCTCTACTAAAAATACAAAATTAGCTGGGTATGGTGGCAGGCACCTGTAATCCCAGCTACTTGGGAGGCTGAGGCAGGAGAATCACTTGAACCCAGGAAGTAGAGGCTGCAGTGAGCTGAGATTGTACCACTGTACTCCAGCCTGGGCAATAGAGCAAGACACCATCTCAAAAAAAAGTGTAAAAGTATTATCTGTGCTTGACTGCAGATGGGGAAGGGCGAAAGCCATGTGGCGCTGCCCTCATTGTCTACGAAACCCCCAGAGGCTGTTTTCCTGAACTTCTCAGGTGCAGCAGCACTGTTCGAGGCCTCATGGGCTGGACTGTCAGGGCGTGAGCAGAATCACTGCACAGGTGTTTCTGTCATCAGTTAAGTTCTGTTTTCCTATTGATTTCCCTGGTTGCTTCCAGGTCTTCCGTTGAACCTTCACCTGGCAGGAGCACTGGCAGTTTTAAAGTTTCTTTGTCCCTCACCCACCTCCCTCAGTTTGTTCTGCTCTTGATGAGCTTTGGCACATGGTTGCGGGGCATCTAGAAGTGAGAGCTGCACTGGCACATGAGCACTGCCAGCCCCCAGAATGAGGCCAGACAAATGCTGAGTCCGTCCACTTCCCTTAGGCCACCCCTGCGTCAGCCATGACCTCTGGCCTCATAGCTTCTTCCCTGACTGTGCATGTGCCCTGTCCTCACAGGTACCTCATCAACTTCCTCCTGGACGCCACCGTGGGCATGCTGCTCATCTACGTGGGGGTGCGTGCCGTCAGTGTCCTCGTGGAGTGGCAGCAGTGGGAATCCTTGCGCTTCGGCGAATATGGTAACACTGTGGATGCCGGACAGGGCGTCAGGGGACTGCTGGTGGTCTCTGCTCCTTGTCCCATGCAGCCCACCAGGCAAACAGATGCAGAAATATCTGGGGAGCTGCCATTGTCTCCTCTGTGTGGTTGAGGGGGCTGCTCTGGGTATAAGCATACCCTCCTGTGGGTGCGGGTGCCTGCTTCACTGCCAAAGGCATCACCTTATGGCAGAGAAGGTGGCGGGAGGCAGGAGACACTAGATGCAGGGAGAGAGCTGGATGTCTGTCCCTTCTACTAGAAGACACCAGCAGTCCCACACACAGGGCCGAAGGACCTCTTCATTCTGCCAAGCTTCCTGCAGAGCTCATACCACCTACCTACTGGGTTTGAGAGATGGGGCAGCTCTCGTTTTGTGTTCATTAGTGAGGTGGCAAGCCCTGTCCCTTTTTCTGCTGCATATCTGTGCTTGTCCTGTCATTAGGCCATTCCACATGGCTAGTACTGGAGGGTGACTTCCCTCTGGGACCAAACTGCCTTGCTGTCTCCTGACTCCAGGCCCACCTCACCCAACATCTGGCATGTACCTGTCACTTAAAAGACATGGCTTAAAACAACTACCTATGAATGCTGGCCCAGCCATGAACCACTCCCATCTCAGATCCCATGGGATACAGCTTTGGTAGGAAGCTCCCTTGGTGCTGGCTCTGAGCATGAGAAACAGTTGGATGTGGCCTCAGTGGGGGCTGTCAGTGAGAGGTACCTTCCTCAAGCCCTCACTGCCCTCTGAGATTTCAGGACAGTTAGGAGTAGTGTCAGCTCTCCCCACCCCCACAGCTGTCTCTGGCTGTCTGCAGGCAGGAGCTCCTCTTAGCAGGTGGAGCAGCATCAGTAGCGCCTTTGCCTCGAGAGGGTCATGCAGGACAAGAGGGAGGAAAAGCAGAGGGAATTTGGGATGCCCATTCTCTTCTCCTGGTCATGCCTCCCAAAGAGCTCATGGCTCTGGGCTCAAGGGCCACTGACTCCTAGATGGCTGAAGATTCACAAGGCACAGACAGTTTAAAAGGGGAACCAATTCATGGAGCTGGCTATGAGTACCTTGGGTATTTCTAGAAATCTTAAGTAATTGTTTGTCTCTGTTGAGGGGAGATGAGCTCAGGGGAGGGCTTTTCTTAGCCTGTTATTTGATGCCTGATGAGTCAGTGACTTAAGATAGTGTCCAGCACACAGCCTGTGCCTCCTGTGACCCATGCTTGACCCACCAGAGAAGGCTTCTGAAAAGCTGTAAGTCATTGAGTCTTCAGCTGCAGAACAAAATGGACCACAGCAGGGGGACCAGCACAGCATCCTCTTCATTTATAGATGGGCACCCAGAGTATTAAGTATGCAGGAAGCTTACCCAGCCAGTGTGTGGCTGTGGTAGCCTGGGCCTGCTGCATCATAATACCTAAACCCTCCCACCACCTCCATGGACAATGCTCACAACTACTCCTTTCCAGTTGAGATACCTTCTAGGAGGCGGGGCTCCTATCTCTATTATAGCTGACCAGTGCTAAGGTGGATCCGCCACAGAAAGTCAGGTGTCACTCTGTCACTTGGGAGTGAAGATCAGGTCTGATTTGGTTACACTAAGAATTATTGTTCCCTCACATTTTGTCTGCATCCCCAAGGATGGATGGAAAGGAAGAAGGCAGTGGTTGTTTCTCAGCCTCCTTCTCAACCTCTTGGCCTGCCCCCCTGCCCCTGGGTCATCCCACCACTGCCTTTGAAGTCAGAGACTTCAAGCCAAAATGTCTCCAAATCAAGCTGCAGGAACCATCCTGAGTCCTCCCCAGGATAAGGAAGGATAGCTTGTCTGCTCAGTTACCTGTTGTTTTCTATTGCTACCATAACAGATTTCCACAAACTTCATGGCACAATTGAAACAACACAGGTGGATTCTCCTTTTTCGTTCCAAAGTCTGCCATGGGTCTTACTGGGCTAAAGTCCCAGTGTCATTGGGGCTGGCTTCTAGAGCCTCTGGGAAGATTGTTTTCTCTCCCTTTCCAGCTTCTAGAGTTTGCCTATAAGCCTTGGCTCGTGGCCCCTCTCTCCATCTTCAAAGCCAACAATGGTCACTGGGTTTGTCCTACATTGAGTTGCTCTGACCTCCTGTGGCCTTCCACTTTCAAGTGTCCCTATGATTACATTGGCCCACCTGGACACTCCGGATATGCTCCTTCTCTTAAAGTCAGTTGACTAGCAACCTTAATTCCATTCACAGCCTCAATTCCCCTTTGCTCTGTGACGCTACACACTCACAGGTTCAAGAGATTTGGATGGGGTCATTATTCTGCTTCCCATACCTGTTATCCTGCCTGTCCATTTGAGGCAGTAATTCCAAGAGGCCCCACAGCTCTCTTCTCGTGCAAGTGAAGAAGAAGAGGGGCTTATTTTCTAGGATGTGTCTTTTGTTCCTAGAAGAGAAGGCCATGAGCTTGCTGTTAAGAATGTGGGACTCAGGGAAATAAGCCACACAGTCCCGGTGGTTGAGACCAGATCCAAGTGACGCATGGTATCTGCACTCTGATTACCAGGCCACTCTTTCCCATGCAGAACCCCTGACAGCCAGGTCACAGTGCTTCATGGGCCTTGCTGCCCATCCCCGGCCAAACACTCCCTTTTGGAAGCCTCTCACCATGGATGTGTTCTCTCCTTTTGGCCCCTATTCCTGTGACTTATACTGAGGGAATAATTTAACCCAAACAAAACACCCACGTGCCTGAGGTTGTTCATTGTGGTAAAAAGCAAGACACACAAAGGCCTGGTGCAGTGGCTCACACCTCTTATTCCCAGTACTTTAGGAGGCTACGAGGGGAGGGTCTCTTGAGCCCAGGAGCTCAAGACCAGCCTTGGCAACAAAGCAGGACCCTGTCTCTACAGAAAAATTTTTAAATAATTATCCAGTCATGATGGCACTCATCCTTAGTCCCAGCTACTTGGGAGGCTGAGGTGGAAGGATCACTTGAGCCTAGGAGTTAGAGGATGCAGTGAGCAGTGTTCATGCCACTGCACTCCAGTCTGAATGACAGAGTGAGACCCCATCTCTAAGAAAACAATAACAGCAACGACAAAGCAAGACACACAACACTGCCTGGCATGTCTGTCCTTTAAAGAGGAGATGGGACGTTTGAAAGACTCACAAGTGAAACAGGATTCAGGAGACACAGCAGCCACATGCACTTCTCCCAACCATGGCTGTGTGAGATCTGGGTGCCCAGAGGAAATGGTGTGCCAGAGGGGGTTACAGGTGCTTTTTCTCTTTCTTCACATGTTTCTGAACTTTCTTATTTTAGCATCTAAATTAAAGAGGTAGCTGCAGCTAAGTTGCACAGCAGAAACTTAGAACACTGGGGCAATGTGAGGCAGATGGGAGGAAAAGCATTTTCCTCCTTGTCAGTCACTGAAAACTGAAGAGCAGATGGAGTGAGCAGGCTGAGCAAGCGGACGTCCTTCGATAGTAAATAATTGGTGCCATGCGCTCTGCTGGCTCCTGAACACTCAGCAGAGAGATTTCCTAGCGGCACTTTCTCTGTCCGACCATCCTTAAAATTACTTAATGGTTTCTCACAAATAAGTTTATTTGTTGTTTTGAGAACTGTTCTCAATAAGGTTAGGTGACTTACCAAAAGGAGAAGGATTGCAAAACCCATTAACAACCTAGCAAGGAGGGATTGTACTTCTGAAATGGGTTTTTTGGCTGAAAAGTCTCCTATCCCTTAAGTGAAAGTAGAAAGGAAGACCTTAGAAGAGGCGACTGATGTTTCTGCCTGCTTTCTGCCACACTTCTCCCAGAGTTTTCCAGAAAAGGGAATGGCCTGGTGTTTTGTCCATTACAGCTGCATAAAAGCATTCCCTTGTGTACAGCTGACAGGCCCAGGCAGGGTGTGGGCCTCCAGCACGGGTGCCCAAACAGGGATTGCTACGGAAACAGTAAAGCCAAATGAGAAGCTGGAGATTTCTCTTTGGACCAAATTCTCTTCTCATAGCCTGGATTAGGGCTTTTGCCCACCCACCCTGTGCCCCCCGAAATGCTACCCTGAACCCCCTCTACTGGCCAGCTGTGGTCAGGCACTCTGGCAGAGCTTCCTAGGTGAGCCCCATGCAGCTTTCCCACACTCTGCTCTTCCCTTGGTCTCCCACTTTGGGGAGGCCTGTGTGGCTCCCAGGGGCTACCCTGGAGTTCGTGTCACAGGATCATTCCCTGAAGAGGCTGGTCTTCTCTTTGTCAAGTCCTTTTCAAAACGTCCTGGAGTTACTCCAGGGCCTGCACGTCCCCCATCTTCCACTATTAGGTCCCTTGGTTACTCAAGCATGGTGACTGAAGGGGTCCCAGGTGGACCTTTGTCACAGCCCTGGGCCCTGGCCCATCCCTCCCACCTCCTTGGCTCAAGAGTTTCTCTCTTCCTTTTCCCTGGCCAAGGTGTTTGGGGTGACCCATGCTGGACAGTCAGAGTCTGAATTCTTCCAGAGTCACGTTCCTTCTCTTAAGGCTGAGGCATCAGGGACAGCCCAGGGAGTGGGATAAGGGATGGGAGGTGGGGAGATGGGAGACAAAGTGGCTGGGTCCTGCTTCATCATCCACAAACATCAGTCCGCTCATGGACAGAAAAGGGAGGGGCAGCCCCAACGTCACTGGAAAAATCAACAATGGATAAGAATAGCAGTCTTGCTTCATACAGCTTCTGCTGCCAGCAAGCAGAAAGAACAGCTTTTCTAAACTTCAGCAATGAGTACTTCCTAACTTTAGTGCTTTTTTAATTCTGTCTTAGAATCTCTTAAAGGCCATTTTAGTATCTTCAAATAAGGGATTCTCTGATTTTATTTAAAACACTGCATTTGTCTGTTAAGGATGAGCTAATCTTTTGGGCTTTGGGGGCTCATAAAGTACCCTTAGAGCCAGGGTTCTGGGGTGCGTCTGGGAGAGTAGGGTGGCGGCAATGTCTCACTCGGATGCCTGGGCCCCATGTGACTAAGCACCCGCCTGTCCCTGCAGGAGACCCTCTGCAGTGTGGAGCCTGGGTCGGGCAGTGCGCTCTTTACATCGTGATCATGGTTTTTGAAAAATCTGTCGTCTTCATCGTCCTCCTAATACTACAGTGGAAAAAGGTTTGCTTCGTCCCTGTGTTAGCAGCTCCTTGCCACACTGAGCAAGCAGCACTTCCTCCCATCACCCACACACACCAACTCTAAGAAAACCAAACTTCTGTTTTACCTCTGTGAATGTGTCCTGGGTTTGGTCTGATGTGGCAGCTACTCCAAAGGGCTTGTCATTCTTAGCATCAGTCCACTTCAAATGTCTGTTCTAGATGAAGCCTTGGGATGTATAAAACTAATGAATTACAGTCCCTGCCCTCGGGTTGCCTACCGTCTAATGTTGGTTTTTAGGCCTTGCAACCATACATGTTTCTACATTGGCAAATGTCCTGTCACACACCTCTCTTGGCTGGTAGTTTAAGCCATTTGGTGCCATGGGCAGCTTCCACAGTCTGTGACCATCAAGGTGGTGATCTCCTGGCCAACCCATGGGCTCCCCGACCCTGGCCTCTGCCCTTTGACCCCAGTTCTGTGTAGATTAAACCCCCCACTCCTCATCTCCACATGCCCATATGAGACCAGCTGGAAGCCTTTGAGAACAAGTGGCTCAGAGCTTGGCCTCCTTTGGGTTTTATTTGTGGCTGAATTTTATTTAAGAAAATAAGCCAAGGCTTTTCAGAGCTGTTGTGTTTTTGGGGTGGTTAGGGTGCAGGATTTCTGTTAGAAAGTGGTCTGGGGCCTCATTGCTAGTGTCTGTAATGAGCATCCACTGTGTTCACCCCTCCAGCCTCCTGAAGCCCACACTCCACTCTCCCGGTGGACACTGCTTTGCTCTGGCTCCAAGGCTGTATGCCCAATGCTCTTTGCAAGTCCACACTGAAGGAAAGCTGCCAAAGCACCAGCTGCTCAATGTGAACTCCAGGGGTTCCTTGTGGACAGTCTCATCTGGGAACTCTGCAGCCCTGGGCATGAAGTGCTGCTCCCATTGGGCTGTGGGGGAAGCGTCTAAGCTAAGGCTCCCTCAGGGCCTGTGGATACCACCCACCCACCCCAGGCACATTCTCAGTGGCCTCTCCGTACCTCACTGAGTCTGCTTCTCTTTACAGGTGGCCCTGTTGAATCCCATTGAAAACCCAGACTTGAAGCTGGCCATCGTCATGCTGATTGTCCCCTTCTTTGTCAACGTCAGTGCCATGTTGCATTTTCACCCCAGTTTGCTCCCTGCCTGCCAGAGTTCCTGTCCAAAGTTCTGAGTTTGACAGAAAGCTCACCTTGTAGCCCTCAGGTCTTTCTGTGTGACCATTTGCCACCTCTCCCACCCCCAGACCTGGAAATGGCGGGATTACTCTGTTAAAAGGCAGGGCCCCCGTCCAAGATGGAGGAGCCTAGAAGTTGTCTTGCCCTCCCTGCCACAGCGCCTCCCATCAAGAAGCCCTTGTATAGCACCAGCCTCTATGTCGGGATCATTTCAAACGTGCCCATCATTCATTCCTGACCACAGATCTTGAGAAGCTCCTGAGCACAATGGCTAGAAGTTAGGAAGCAGAAGTGGTGAGGGAAGCTGGGACAAACAGATTATGGCAAAGTGTGCCGGCCACGCACACGCAGTCTGTGGGAGGGGCCCAGAACAGGTGTCCAGAGGCCTTGCTTCCAGGCCCCAAACAGGCTGTCCCCCCATTTACCACAACAGAAACCCCTCAGGGCACATTCCTTGCACACACTCATCAGAAAACTCAACTGGAGAAAGTGGAGACTGGGAATCTCTTTCTAAGCTTTGGGAGATAGCAGGGCAATTGGATTGGGGTTTTCTTTCCATAGTTCTGGCTCTTATAACCTGGAATGGGAGTGGGTGGATAGGGGCTGCTCAGCTCTGCTTTGAAATGGTTTATCCCAAAGTAACCTGCACTTTTCCTTCCCGCAGGCCTTGATGTTTTGGGTAGTCGACAATTTCCTCATGAGAAAGGGGAAGACGAAAGCTAAGCTAGAAGAAAGGGGAGCCAACCAGGACTCGAGGAATGGGAGCAAGGTCCGCTACCGGAGGGCCGCATCCCATGAGGAGTCTGAGTCTGAGGTAGGGCCTTCCCAACTCTCCGAGGGCCAAACCGGTGCACCACTGGCTCAAGGGGGTCTCTGGTCTCGTGTTTACGTTTGGTCTTCCCTTGAGTGCTGAGTCACAGTGCCACCAGAGGGCAGGAGAAGAGGCAAAGCCGGAGATGAGCAAGGAATAGACGGCTCTGTCCAGCCAGGATCCATTCCTGCTGTCCCTTGGGCCTGCCTAGAGCAGGAGGGCAGAACAGATGGGGGTGACTTGCCTGTGACAGTCCCTCCATCAGTGGAGCAGACAGGAGAGGGAGGTGCTGCCTCATTTGGTGAGCTGACGAGGACCATCATGGGCCTAACGGTTGACCTTCAAGTAGTAGGGTATTTTAATCTCTGCCCACCACCAAAGAGCAAGGGAAGTGCTGGATAAAATAGCTGGAAACATCTAAAATACAGGGGTAGCCAGCTCTTGTAGAAGGAACCTCATTTCCCCTTATTTTCTGGTCTTCTGAATTCAAAGGTTTGGACATCAGGGAAGAACAGTGGTCCTTAGCGGCACCGAGGCCAGGATATGTGTTCTGGCGGCCCTGCGGTGCTCACCCCACATCTGCATGCAGGGCCAGCTCATGGAAGGCCTGGGAAGCTCCTGAGGCAGAGAGCACTGTGCAGGTGGAAGCTGCAGAAAAGCTGAGATGAACATTTTCCCCGAGAGGCCTAAAGATGTGCTGGTGAGGTGCAGGTGGATGCATAAGTAGCTTGTCATGACACTGTAATGTGTTCTGAGGTTGGGGCATAGACAGAACCCAGCGAGTGCCCTGGGCCAGCCTGGAGGGAGTTTCAGAAGATGAATAGATGAGTAGGACAGAGGGGAAGCCATGTCTTCTCTAGGTGTTTGTCCCTAGAATCTGGCCAGCACCTGTCATTCAAGAGCTTGGTGAACATTAGGTGAGTGGCAGACAGTGTTAAAGGGAGAAGCAGCAGCTGACAAGCATTCACAGTCACATGGTTTGCTGTCTGGGCTGTAATGTGAAATGCACTGTGGCGTGTATTCTGGAGCATAGGCAAGAAGTGAGATACAGGCTGAGCTAGATGGGCGATGCTGTGTGATCCAGGCTGTGGCATAGGATGTGCTCATACAGGCGGTGGGAGCAGTGGGAGTGTGGGGGCTGGGACCGAGACGAGGCAGGAAGCCCCGCAGAGGAGCAGTGCAGGGAAGAGGGGGTGAGACTGCCTACCCTGCCCTAGAATAGAAGGAGTTGGTGTTTCCCTTCACAGGTGGTCTTTGAACCTCCTGATCGTGACATAAGCTGTTCCAACCTTTCCCTGGTATTCAGAGATCTGAGGAGCCAGGTGGGTGGGTGGGGGGTGAGTGTGTTTGCCTCAGCTTCGTGGCTGAGTCATTCCAGGGGCTTAGGACAGCAAAGTGCCGCTATTTGTTTTCAGCAGTTACAGAGCTGGTTCAGAGCAGCCACACTGGACTCCCCCAGCCCACAGATGTTTTCTCTTCCTTTTGAAAGAAGCTTTTTGCTGGGCGCGGTGGCTCACGCCTGTAATCCCAGCTCTTTGGGAGGCCGAGGTGGGTGGATCATGAGGTCGAGATCGAGACCATCCTGGTCAACTTGGTGAAACCCCGTCTCTACTAAAAATACAAGAAATTAGCTGGGCATGGTGGCGTGTGCCTGTAATCCCAGCTACTCAGGAGGCTGAGGCAGGAGAATTGCCTGAACCCAGGAGGCGGAGGTTGCGGTGAGCCAGGATCGCACCATTGCACTCCAGCTTGGGTAACAAGAGCGAAACTCTGTCTCAAAAAAAAAAAAAAAAGTTTTTCAGTCTGCCTCTGCAGTATTTAAGGCAACTTCAAGGACTCCATGTGTCATGGTTGAGCTTTTTTAGCCAGGGTGACCTTAGGCTGCAGATCCCTGCTGAGTTTGCCCTGGTGGGGGTCAGTTCCCCTGGAGATCGACAGAGAAGTGGGGAGTATTAGCAGAGGAGGGGTCTGTCGACTCTGTGCTGGCTTCAGTAGCCCATGAGTGTCCCTGGAGTGAACATGGCCTGTGGATGCTAGCATATCTCATTGAATACAGGGAGCTTCCCCTCACTGTCTTAGAAATGTGAGACTTGGCCAGGCACAGTGGCTCATGCCTGTGATCCCAGCGCTTTGGGAGGCCGAAGCAGGTGGATCACTTCAGGTCAGCAGTTCGAGACCAGCCTGGCCAACATGGTGAAACCCTGTGTCTACTAAAAGTACAAAAGAAAAAATTAACTGGGCATGGTGGCACACCCCTTTAATCCCAGCTACTCAGGAGGCTGAGGCAGGAGGCTGAGGCAGGAGAATCACTTGAACCCGGGAGGCGGAGGTTGCAGTGAGATGAGATCGTGCCATTGCACTCCAGCCTGGGCGACAGAGTGATACTCTGTCAAAAAGAAAAGAAAAGAAAAACGTGAGACTTGAAGGGCCCAGGGTCCAGGGAGGGGAAATGAAGAAGGCCCTGCTGGTGGTTACTCAGGCCCTGCCTCTGCACTGCCTCAGATCCTGATCTCAGCGGATGACGAGATGGAGGAGTCCGACGTGGAGGAGGACCTCCGCAGACTGACCCCCCTCAAGCCTGTGAAGAAAAAGAAGCACCGTTTCGGGCTGCCTGTATGACACATTCCCATGCTGAGGGTGACGGGAGGGCCCTGCCAGCTGCCAGTGTGCAGAGGTCATCCTGCAGCGTCGTTCCTTCCCCCCTCTGCCCTTCCTTTCTACCTCTGCTCCTCTTGCTGTCTCTGCCCGCTCTCGCCTGCCCCAGACTACTACTGTGACTTAAAAAGAGGGAAGAGGAGCCAGTGCCCGAGGGGGCCACGGGTGGCTGGAGGTCCCCATTCAGTTGCACTACAAACACTGACCAAATATGCAAGGAAGGAGTTGTGTTTGTTGTCCCAGACAGTGTTGGGAGCTACCCGAGGCCCTGCCCTGTGTCCAACCAGGTGGCAAGCTAGAAGGAAGCACAGGCACACAGGCCGTGGATGGGTCCCCTCACCGCGGCTGGGGCAGTGCAACTCGGAACGCCTTCAGGCTAAAAGTGACTCATTGACCAAGTTGGAACTGGAATGCTTTCTTACTTGGAATGGCTTTTGTAACTATTGATTTCTGAAGCTGGTTTTACGAGCTGTGACAGTGTTACTGGGTTGGGGGTATGTTTATTTCCTACAAAGTACTTATGGGACTAATGGGCAAAACAGAGATTTTTAAGTCTTCCATATGCTGTTTGACTTTTATATTTTTAAGTTATATTTTCATACTATTGTATTTAAAAACTTCTTAATTCCCAAAGAAATGGGTTTGTTTGCCTTTCACGGGGTGTGGGCTGGCAGGAGGGAAAGGTTGGGAGTTTTTTATTTGAAATATAGTTTGGTGATGCCCTGCGATAAGATGAGACAGATGATTGGGGAGGGAAGGAGGATGGCCCTTCTCGGGAATCACAAACCCAGTGCTTCTGTGAAGGTCAGACCCAAGCTTGGCGCTGCTGGTCTCGATGCAGATCCAGGAGCTGCAGAGTGTGTGAAACAGGAAGGGCGCTGCCCAGGGCCAATGAGCTCTAGTGTTCTGCTGGCAGATTAGAAGGTCTTGGTTAAACTTGACCAAGAAAGGAGCTTAGCTAAGAGATCTTTGTGTCCAGAGGACTCAAGACTAGCAGACTCCTGTGCAGAAGAGGAGTCTCTGCAGAGCCTCCCATCATGGTTTAAAATGGTCTTGGCCTCTCAGCCCCTGTTGCTGCAGCCTTCAGAGCCAGCCTCTGGACGCAGCGCCAGGAACCTCCTCTTATGCTACCCTGGTACCTGTCATTCCAAGTGTCATCTGTTTTGTATAGTGTTCTGGAGAACATCTGCCTCACAAAGTGATCCTATTTTCCACACCCTCCAAAGCTGAGGTGGCTAAGGCAGGTAGGGGTGAGAGAGCTCACTCTCTAAACCACAGGCAGGGCAAGGTGCTTCTAGGCCATGTCCCCTCCCTGTAGCATGGCCCCTGCTCCTCAGCATGGCCACAGGCCCCTGTGGCTTTGGGAGTTTGCTGATTATTGTGAAATGGGCTGACCCCAGCAATTTCCCTGCTGTGCAAGCAGCAAGGTAGGGGTGCTCCTCATAGTTTGTCAAGCTCAGAGGCAGCCATGGATGGTTAGGAACAGGAAGCCACAGTGCTAAGGTGTGAGCTAGAAGGGAGACAGCCTGGAATTTAAGTGAGACAAGTGCAGAGGAGGCTACTTTACTTAGAACCTTCCCTTTAGACCTGCATGAATATGTGTTCCACTTAAGCACATTGGATTTGAATTGTGGAGAGTGAGCCCAGCTGTTAAACCAGGTACCCGGGGACTACCCTCTGCCTCTCAGAGTCCTGCCTGTCCTGGACTTGGAGGCTAGCATTAGGAAGGCCTTCTCAGCCCATCTTCCACCAGGAGTGCAGAGCCAGGGTGCTGAGACTGCAGGGGACTGTAACTGCAGTAGGAGGCAACTTTGCCAGTGTGGGCCTCTTGGCCAGTAGGCCTGGCAGTGCCTGAAATTGGAGTCCGCCTGGGGTCTTGTGTCGTTTCTGTTCAAAATGACTCTGTGCTCCCTCCCATCCCACAGCTATGGTAGCCGGTATTTCCCTACCCGCTCTCTAGTGGGAAAGAGTGGCTGGAACCAGGCCATTCTGAGTCGAATTTGGGGAGACCAGGACTCATGTTCCTGGCAGGACAGTCATTCCCTCAAGGCATCACTGACTCAGTTCTAATCCCTCCCCTCCTGTTTCATTTTGGTTTGAACAACCTGTGCCTGCAGCTGTTTCTTCTGCCTTCCTGGAGCTCAGAATCAGAGCTTCATTTTCAGTCTTGAGCTCCTAATGTTTTCAAACAGGGCAGGGAATAGGAGAGCCATAATCTGTGAAAGCTGTAAAACAAACTCTGGGTTATGTAGACCTGAGATCATCTCATCTGAAGGCTCGGCCCACTTCCCAGTGAGCAGTGGGTTTGGGGAATAAAGAGGTAGCTGGTGAGTGATGGTTTTCCCCTGTATCCTGATTTTCAGAAAGGGCTTTAGTCTCTGAGCTGCAGCCAGTGTAGATGGCTGACCAGGGGACAGGGGTCTAATAGGGTGTCTGACCAAAGGGCACCTCTTGGTATGTGGCCTGGACAGTGTGGCATCTCATGTTTGGTCTTCCCCTCCTCGTGTGTGTGTGTGTGTGTGTGTGTGTGTACACACATGTACATACATATAAGTCTGTATTCCCAGGAGTGCCTCCTGCCATCATTGGGGGCTCTTCCGTGGTGCACCATCCCATGAGAGCAGATCAGAGGGCCGTGGTCAGGACTTCCTCCCGAGCTGCCCTCCCTCCCTGGGATGAGCTTCCTCACCACCTGCTCCAAGGTGCCTTACGAGGTGCAGCTCTTCACCTGGCCACATGGCATCCATCACCGTGCTTGAGAAATGATGAGACGTTGGCTGGATGTTGTGTACTATCAATCCAATGTGTCCAAATCTGGACCTCAGCCAAGCCAGCTGTGATGGAACCATGCAAGCCAAGGTCATGAACAAAGAGGAAATAAACTAATGAGGTAGAACTGCCATATCTGAAGGGAAGAGGTGGTTGGTACTGTGATTTCCTTTTGCTGTCAGAGGGATGTTGACAATGGCAAGAGAGGGGATATTGGTGAGCCCAGGTGATGGTGGCTTCTTGGTCCACTTGGCTTTAACACATGCAAAAGGAGGCTCTGTGGCCTCTCAAGCTTTAACTTGTGCCCTCCCTGGCAACAGGGAGTCATGGGTTAATGTTACCTGTCATGCCTGTTTCTTCAGGGAAAATATTAAAAGGTTCAAATCCAAGCTGTGGCTTCCTCTAGGCAGTGTAAGCCTGGAGGTTGTAGCCCCAAGTTGATGTTCAAAGGCTGCCTCAGAGCCCTGGAGGGAGCAGCACCCAGCCGGCAGCCCACTCTGCCCTCCAGACTTCAGTTCACTGGCCTTTTCACAGCCAGGCTAAGATAGGCAGTGCTCGGAACTTCCCGCCAGCCAGAGCAGCTGCCTTGTAGAGTGTGAGGCTGGCTTTTAGAAGTTTCACACGCTTGTAGCTAAGAGTACAGAGCTGTCTGTTTCACTTTGTAAAACTGGCAGCTCTGAGGGGCTTGGCTTTGGTAACGGACTTATGGTCTAATTTGCCACAAGCACCTTGAGCTCCCAGGTGGATGGTTGGTTGGTTGGGTTGTTTTAAATTTGATTTTTCTTTTCCTGAAGTTTGTTAGAAGTCAGGCTTATGCGAGCAAAACCATGGCCCACTTTAGCTGCCATCCAGTGGGGGTATTTAATCAGTTGTGTTAGGATTCGTAGAAACATGTTTTTGAAATGAAAGGGAAGATGAAGTACTTACATTGTAAAATGGTTTACAATAAAGTTTGGCATCTTATTACAGTTTTTTAAAAAAGAAACCATCACATTTGTGGTTGTTGGTTGTGTGTTCTCTGGAGTTGAAACAGTGTTGCAGGGTCACAAACGATTCCCCTGTGAATTAGAAGGTTCTCCCCAGGGACCAGAGTGAGAAGGAACCTTACAAAGCCTCATGGCAGAAGTGGAAGCCAGCATCCGCCCAGGAAAAAAACAAACATGCTCTTGCCATTTCCACTTCCTCGCTAGTGAGAATTAAAGCAAGTCGTCTGAGAAGCAGTGAGCAGTCCACATCCTCATCCCTGAGGCTTCAGGGCTGGAAGGTGGGTACCTGGGCAGAGCCGCAGCATTAGGTGCCATGCACCCCCAGAGCCGGTGGAAGGCCCCCATGAGGCCTGGTCTGCCCCCGGCTGCCTCTTGGCTCATGTTCCATATCCTGGGCATTCCTCATGTCAGCACTTGTCTCAGATCAAGCCTGGCAGTCCTCATGTTGGCCTCCTGGAGCCAGGATGGCAGGATGGGGATTGGGGTGGGGTTCAAAGTATGACAGCTGTGGAGTGGCATTTGGGATAACGAAATGTCAGTTCCTGATTGGGTTCCATCTGCCTGGATCTTTCAAGGATGAAAATAGTCTCTATCATAGACTGAAAAGGACTTGGATAGGTCTGATCTCACTGGGAGGGCCCTGACCACCTACACACATCTGTTCCCCACACCCACCCCAGGCTTAGGATTGTGTCCTGTGCCCTGGGGTATCTTCCCCTTGCAAAGAGATGCATGAGAGCTTCTAGCAGAGGAGAGCTAAGTGACCTTCAGGGGGAGCCTTTGGGCCTGTTCTTGTCTCTGCAGCTCAATACCTGGAGTGGGCTGCACTCTCCTTCACCCTCTTTGAGCAACTGAAACTGTCCTGCAGGCCAGCCCCGCTGCGGTGGCCTCACCTAGTCAGAGGCCTAAGCCTGAGCCTGTTTCCTGCCTCTGTCTCATCAGTGCTCTGACCATCGAGCGTGGTTTCCTCCCTTGTCCTTTTCAGACCCCTTACTCCCCACTTAACTGAACTTGCACTTGGGATAAGACAGAGGACAAAGACATCAGCAAAAGCACGAGCAACTCCCCAGGCTCCCCTTGGCCTCAGCTTCTCCACCTGCTAACCTGTGGTAGCCCCTCTCTCTGAGTTTGCTGTGAGGGCCCAGTGAGCTCACCATGAGCAAATGCAGCTGACACGGAAAGCTCCTGCTCTGCCACCATGCAGGCATGGAAAATCTCTTTCCACTGGAATCCAGGAGGAGAGACGGAAGAGAAAGAAAAACAAGCTCAGAGCAGTCCAACCTGGCTAGGGCCTTCTGTTTCCTCAGGGGCACCCCACACCCACCACACACTGGGATGAGCGCTTGCAGAGGAACAACTCAGATGTCACACATTCCAGGACCCACATCCGTAAACACACAGCAAGTCCGCCAGTGCCAGCACCTCCCCCAGCAAATCAAGCAGCTGTCCCAGCGGGCATAGGGTCTCTGCAGCCATTTGTTTTCCCCAGGGCTGCAACCCCCAGACAGCAGTACTCGGAGTCCCTCTCATCTCCGAGAATAAACTCTGAAGCCAGCAACCCTGCCGACCTGAATCATCAGGGAGCCTGTCAGAGGAGGGGCAGTGACTCCCGGACAAGCAAGCAGGCTATATAAGTTCCAGAAGGCTGGGCTCCGCTCAGATCTTTTCCAGCAGCTGCTGTTTACCAGAGAGGTGCCTTCGGAGACCCAGCACTTATAAAACACCCACCATGTCCCAGGTAGGAGGGCCCAGCACAGGCTGTGTTGATGCCAGAGGGAGTGGAGGTGGAGTCCTGGACACTGAGCTCTGGCAGCTGTGTCATGAGCTGAGACACAGCATGAGAGCCCCAAGCATGAACTGGAGGCTCTGCAGCCCTGGGAGACGGGAGCTCAGGGTGGACCCCCCTGGGGAACCACTTTTCTATGTGGCTTTGGTGGTATTCCGTGGTTTGTTAGGAAGAGTGAAGAGAAATGTGGGGGCTTAGAGCTCTTCATGTGTGTGTGTGTGCACGTGTGTGCTGATGTAGCTAAGTGTGTATAGCTTTGTGCCTTTGTAGCTACGGCCCCTGCAGCTATGCACTCTGTAGCTACACATATAGGTTTGTCTCTGTATGTGTATGGTATATGCAGGAAGCTGTTTGTGTGTGCACAGGAGGCTATAGGGACACAGCTGGGTGCATCCTGTACAGGGGTACAGCATGTTGCTCTGAGCAGCCCGGCCCAGGCTGAGGGAGGGAATCCCTGCACCTGCACCCAGGCATAGGAAGGAAGGTCTCAGATTCATAGGCTCCTGGGGTTGAGGGGTAGGGTAAACACCGAGCCTGGGTGTCCTCCACCCTGGAGGAACACACCAGTCTGCCAAGAGAGAGGGGTTGTTCCTGTTGCCTGCGGGTGGGTGCCCACTTTGGACTGTAACTGTGGGTATCTAGTCCTTCTACCCCATTTTCACTCCCAAAGACACAAAGTAAATACTGGTGCTTTTCTGGGAGAGGGGCAATCCTTGAGGGACACCTTGCTACTCAGCAGGTTTTGGAACTAACCAAATTCGCTGTATTGTGTATTGCTCACCCTCAGAGCTAGTCCTCTTCTCCATTCCCCACTGTGCCCAGCCCTGAGCTTGGCCAAGCAGATAGACACACCAGTGTGAGGCTGCAGCAGCCACTGCTCCCAGGAGCTCCTGGGCTATGGGGGAAGGGCACAGGGGCAAGTCAGACCAAGACAGCTGGGAGACTCATGGCAGGTGGAGTATAGTTGGGAAAGCTTTCTCTGGAAGAGGAGTGGAGCCTTGAATAGGCTTGGGTTTAGTGAGCAGAGAAGAGGGGTCTTGGCCAAGGTACAGAGGTAGGGGTCCCCACCTTGAGGCCTCAGGTAGTAAGATGAGGCTTTTGGATCTCCAAGGCTGGTGCTCAGGAAGCCCCCATCAAGAAGAAGCGCCCCCCTGTGAAGGAGGAGGACCTGAAGGGGGCCCGAGGAAACCTGACCAAGAACCAGGAAATCAAGTCCAAGACCTACCAGGTCATGCGGGAGTGTGGTGAGTGTCCTCAAACTGGCTGGGGCTGGGCTGGGGGTACAGGTGTGTGTGTCGGTTGGGGGAGGTGGTCAAGGATCCTTTTCTGAGAATTCAGCATTCCTGGGCTCAGGAAAGGGTGCTCCCATCATAAGGGACCTTCCCAATTAGGAAGCCAGGCTGGCCCCTGACTGTACCTCCTTCCCACAGAGCAAGCTGGCTCGGCCGCCCCATCGGTGTTCAGCCGCACCCGCACAGGCACGGAGACTGTCTTTGAGAAGCCCAAAGCCGGACCCGCCAAGAATGTCTTCGGCTGAGAAGTGCACACCACTCCCCTTGCTGCCCAAATGCTCAGAAACTGCAGCCTTTCCCAGGAACTCTTTTTTTATGCCAGAACGCCTCCTGTCCCCTGCCGTCTCTGGGGCTGCCACCTCCCCTTCAGACCTGGCCCTTCAGCCAAGGGCTTTGCACCAGCACCTTGAAGCCCCAATAAAGAGGATGCACAAGTGGCCCCAGCAGTTGGAAGGTGTTGGTTGATCCCTGGCTGTGGCTGCTATTGAGGGGGAGGACAGGGTGGGATCATGGAACATGTCCATTTGGGAGGCTCCCAGGGGATAGCACAGGTGCTGTTGTGGCCACTGCACATGCTGCCTTGGACATGGAGACCTGCTGCTGACCTGTGACTTCAGACCAGATTCTTCTGAGCCTCAATTTCCGCTTTTATACCACAGGAGAGTTGAGCTGGAGCCTGTTCCATAAAGCAGGCCATTGTGACACTGCTCAGAGTGAAGTGGGTAGGGGCTCAGGGACCACTTCTCCCTCTGCCTTCCACAGAAGCTGCTGAGAAGCCTCCAAGGACCCCCAGGCTCTGCGGCTCCTAGGGACCTCAAAACCCCTCTCCTTGCACTTTTGTTCACACTGCCTCCTTGCCAGCTTTTCTCCCCTCTAAGACAAAGCCAGATCAAGATTCCTCTCTGGCAGTCAGTTTCCTGAGCCATTGTCTCTTCTAAACAGCAGGGTAAGCCTCCCATGTTCTGCTCCAACCAGGCTACCTGCGGCATGGGAACACCAGATCCTCAGCCTGCAAGACCCTTCCCTCTCCAGTCGTCTGTCCCCCGTGTACCTGGAACCACCAGATTTAAAAGACACATAGAGGCCTGTCCCATTGTGATGGCAAGACCATGGACAGGCTGACAGCGGCTCCTTTTGGAGATAGACTGGCAGCGCCTGGGCTTGTGGTGTCTGGCTCAGGGCTGCAGCCTGCTTGGGATTCCCTCCTGTCCCACCACCAGGGGAGCCAGCTGCCCAGCGCCTTCCCCACAGTAACGGCCAGCCTGGCCTCCTTATATAGCTCTGGGTCTAGGCTAGCCCCATCCTCTGTGCCCCAAGGGAGCAGACCTGCTGGGAGGAAGGGCCTGGTTCCTACTTGCTGGGGTAGGCTCTTCCCCGAGACACTGAAAGGGGTGTGTTCCCCTGTCCCAAACATATCCAGAGCCGAAAGGGTGAGCAGTGGAGACGTGCGCAGAGAGGCTTCTGGCCAGTCATGCTAAGGAAGGGGAGCGTCTTCTTTACAGCTGTAGAAATAGCTCCAGTCTCTGACACCCTTGTTCCAGGCCTGCTGCTGCGTCTAATGGAGACAGGACTGGTGGAGAAAACCCTCCCCAGCCTCTGGCTGCCCCAAGGCCCCCCATAGGTCCCTAAGGCAGCTGGCCCCTCAGGGCTGGTGTCATGGAGCTGTCCTCCTTCCCTTATCCAGGACTTGGCACCTGGCCACATTTGTGACTCATGTTTACCCATCTGTCCACAGACTCCCCAGAGCCACCAGGGAACATGAGCCCCAGCAGCACCCAGAGCGCGTAACATGTACTCACTCAATCACACTTCACAACGAGCAGAGTGCTTCAACTTTAATAAGCCCAGGACCCAACCCAGGCCCTTGCAAAGTGCCCCCGTGGGTCTGGCTGCAGCACTGTCTCATGAAAACAGCATTCTGCCCTCTCTCAACTGGCAATTCCTGGGCTCCCTCTGCTCCACCAGCCACCACCCCAGTCACCCCTCAGGAGCTACTAATATTGTCAGCTCTATCCTGTGTTCCATGCTCTCCTGTCAATAAACTTCCCGCGTGGAGACCTCTGTGCCACAGGATGTGGCAGCTTTATGACTGTTGTATTGCCTAATTGCCATTGTTTTGGGGGGCCTTGCTTGGGTTGAGCCTAAAGCCCTGGCTAGGTTCATGGCACTCAAATAGCAGCCTGGGACCCCAGGAGAGAGAAGGAGGTGCCCTGTGCCCAGCACCTCTCACTTCAGAAATAAGGCATATCTATCCTGACTCTAGATCTTGCCCCACGTAGATACCTCCCAGAGTTACCCAATGCCTTAGGGCCCTTCCGTCAGCCAGTCAGACTCACCTGGTGGCCAAGGCCCCCTTCCTCCAGGAAGCCACTATGGTAGCCCTGTAGCCCTAGTCTTTCCTACCATCCCCGTTTCCCTCCCTCCAGGCTGGACTTATGGAGAGCAGACTGGCATCTTCACTGTCGATTCCCCCCCCCCCCGCCCTGCCCCACCCTATGGAGCTTGTTGGAATGCTGGGTGTGAAGGGTCCTAGTGCCTGGAAGAGTTTTGTATATTGCAGAAGGGGCATAGTACCCTCACTCCAACCTGAGCCTACCTTTTTTTGGTATACATTCCTGCCCCCAGCCAAGGTCCATAGGACATTCGTCGTTTGCTTATCTGAGGTCACTGTGGTTTTTTGGCTTGTAGATCCCAATTTCCCAGAACCTGCCCCCATGTGGGTGGGGTTGCAAACAAGTTACTAATCTATTCCCCACTTGCTCTCAAGTTCAGAAGCTACCTGGCAGACACTGGAGCCACGATGAAGCCCCCAGGACCTGTCTATACCTGCAGCAAAGTGCTGGTCCTGCTTTCACTGCTGGCCATCCACCAGACCACAACTGCCCAACAGGTAGCCAGTGTCCACGGGTGTGGCATGAGCTGGGGGATGAGAGCATGCCTGGGAAGTGGGGGAGAGCCTCTGCATGTGCGAGCGTGTCAGCACAAGTGCGTGTGCATCAGTGTGTTTGCAAGAAAATGGGGCAGAGCTCCCACCAGGCACTATCTTAGGGGTCTTACGGGTATTCTCCTACCTAATAGAAGGCATGATCCAATCATTTCCAAATGAGGAAATACAGTTTTACAAGCCTGGCTCTACTGCTTTCTAGTAAGTAACCTTCAGGGAGTGATTTATGCTATCTACGTCTATTTCCTCATCTGTAAAATAGGGTAATAGTAGAAACTATTCAGAGGGTGGCCGTTGTAAAAACCAAACCCATTGTATCTGTAAAGTGCTTAGGACAGTGCCTGTCCCAGAGCAAATACCCAAGCACATAAACCACTTAGCACCTCTGTGCCAAATTGTGTTCAGGCAGCTGTATGCAGCCAAGCAGTCGGTGTACATGAGCGTGGCACACACAAGCAGGTTAAGAGATGCCTGTGTGTCCTTCCTCGGGGGACACAGGCCTTGAGCAAATGGCACATGCCAGGGGAGTGCCCTGCGGAAGGGGGTTAGTTGGGGAGGGTCTACTGCAGGGCAAGGAGGAAGATTCCCAACTCTTACAGACTCAACTCTAGTCTACCTCTGAATTCTCCCAGCTCCCAGGGCTTCCTGGTAGGAGACTGGTGGGAGCTTCCCTATTGCCAAGAGGCCAAAGTCTTCAGAAATCAAAGGACCTGGTCACTGCCCTTTCTCTGGGCAAAGCTAAGTCAGCATGCAAAGCCTCCTGACCCCGCCAGGGCCCTCACCCCTGCCCAAAGGCTAAGTGTGATACCCCTCCTAGACATGGGCTCCTGCTTCACCAGCCCCACCCCCTTGTGCTTGTTCTCCAAGGAGTGCTCTGGGCCCCCATAGATCAAGAAGGACATGGCCCCTGCCCTGTGGTGCCATAGGGTAGGGAATGAAGCACACCGCTACCTCTTATCTGAGACAAATGTTCACATATGAGATGCCTCACTGGATTCAGCCTGAGGCATGGTCAGTGGCTCAGTCAGGTTGGGAGCCAGGGTTTGGTCTGAAGCCAGAGTTGGGGCCAACTCTTGAAGAGTGTCACCCTGAGCTGAGGTGGCATTGAAACCCTGCAACCCCCTTCTCCTTTGCTGGTCCAAAAGGATATTGACATCTACAGCCTTACTGTGGACTCCAGGGTGTCTTCCCGGTTTGCCCACACAGTCGTCACCAGCCAAGTGGTCAACAGGGCCAATACTGTGCAGGAGGCTACCTTCCAGATGGAGCTACCCAAGAAAGCCTTCATCACCAACTTCTCCATGTAGGTGCCTTTCCCCTCCTCCCCTACACGCCCCCCACTGCTATCGCTCCATCAGCTCTGTGCCGGCAGGCCCTCTTCCTGAAGGGAGGCATGCGAGGGTGTACATCTTCAGGAGTACACACTGTACCTGGGGGCCACACAGGGAGCGTGGGCTTGCCAAGGGACTTATTCTTTGAGATGCCCCCATCCTTCCATCCCGCCATTCATCATCCCTAAGTGCTGCCCAGGTGGCAGGCAGAGAACCACAGCGTCTTTGTGACTTCACCTTTGAGGAGCACAGACTTGAGGCCTCCTGAGGCTAGACCAGGCAAGTGGGAGTCACCAAAATGCAGATTCCGGCTCAAAGTACAGAAAACCTCCCAACCCCATGGCTTCCCCACAGCAGAGAGTGGCTTGAGGAGGATTTTCCTGGTTATGCCCCAAGCTGGGATCCTGCAGAGGGCATTTTTGCTCAGACTGTGTGAGAAATGCCTGGGGTTTCTCTGAACTCTGTGAACCTGTGATGGTCCTCACTTTGTCCTCTGCTGCCCTCACCTACCCTTCCCAACTCAGTTTTGCAATATTTGCTAAATGCACCAGGACACTGGCTATCCCTTGGCACTGGAAAAGTGTGGATAAGGCTCTTCCCAGAAACAGAGAGGGCAGTGGCAGGGCAGAGAAGGAGTGTCTCTCATGCGCGGTCCCACACTGGGGCCTCTGGAAAACTGCAGTGGGGGATGGTCTTCTCCCTTGGGCCCTACACATCCCCTATTCCATAGCAGCTCCTACTTTTCCTAACCCAGAGCCCAGGCCTATGCTGCCCAGCTTGCAGCACAAGCCCCACAGGCTGTGCCAGCCTTCAACATGGGTGCCAGGGCCAGCAGTTGCCAGGTCTAGGCCCGTGGCATCTGCTGAGAGCCCAAGATGGTCACTTGCCTTCTCTGGACCCAGATCCTGTTGCTGCATGAGTCATGGGAGCAGAGAGCAGGGTTTCCTGCTCCCTGACCTGGCCAGGAGCCCCAGCTGGGCATCTGGAGAAATCAAGCACTGCCCACCCAGGAGGAGGAGCCCCATTGCCCACTCACCAGCCCCACCTGGGGCCAGAGTTAAATTTTAACCAGGAAGGGCAGGTGGTCCTGACATCCTGGCTGCTCCCCCTCCTGCCCACTGCCACACACTCTCGCACTTTCATACCACCCCCAGATGGAGCAGGCGAAGTTGACCAGGCATATCCCTGCTCACCCCATAGGAGGCTCTGGAGAAGTCATTTTTCTCCCTGAGAAATGGCCTGGGCCATTCTTTCTCAGCACCCAAAAGAAAGCTGCTAGGAGTATGTCCACACACCCAGGAGTCCTGTCTACCGGTTGTCCAAAACCTCCTTCCAGATATACCAGCCTCCCTGTTGGGAGGGAGGAGGAAGGCCACTGCAGGGGGAAACAGCTCAGAGCCTCCAGCCCTGCCTCTCCTTCCTCCTCAGTTCTGGCCCTACACAACTGCACATAGGGCTGGGAACAAGTGCGACTCAGACAGCTGTTACTGGTGATGAACTGGTTCCCCTGGAACGGCCTGTGAAATAGAAGGGGCAGGTTGGAATGCGGTCCAGCTTGGGCCAGACTGGACAGGTAGAGAGAAGGCAGGATTTAGCTGGGGCCTGACCCTCTGCAGCCTCCCCTTCATCTCTTCTATAAAATGAATGCTTGTTACTGTGCACACCTCAGGGAGCTAGAGGCCTGGTGCACTTTGCAGAGTGCCCTGCAGAGTCTTATATCCAACAGGTGCATAATAAATGCCACTGGGCTCAGGCAGATGGGAGTCACTGTGTCAAGAGGTACACTGAGTCTAGAAAAGCTCTCTGGAGGAGGTAAGAGTAGAGTGGGTCCCTCCCACAAGGCTCTTAACAACTCCCACCCTTCTGCCCCCAGGATCATCGACAGCGTGACCTACCCAGGGATCATCAAGGAGAAGGACGAAGCCCAGGCGCAGTACAGCACAGCAGTGGCCAGGGGAAGGAGTGCTGGCCTCATCAAGTGAGCTGGCAAGGGGGCTGCTTCAGCGGGGAGGGTCTAGATGGAGGCCACCCTGCCTTTGTCCCCTTAGTCTTGCTCCCACCTCCACCAGCCTGACCCCATCTGTCCTGGAGGGGCAGGCCTGACACCCTCCTCCCCCAGGGCCGCCGGTAGAAACATGGAGCAGTTCCAGGTGTCGGTCAGTGTGGCTCCAAATGCCAAGATCACCTTCGAGCTGGTCTATGAGGAGCTGCTCAAACGGCGTCTGGGGGTGTACGAGCTGCTGCTGAAAGTGCGGCCCCAGCAGCTGGTCAAGCACCTGCAGGTACCTGCCGTTGCCTCTTCAGGGAGGTGTCCTCGGTGACCCCTGCCCTGCTGAGGGCAGCCCCTATTTGCCCCTGGGCCTCCTGTGAGCCTCAGCCCAGGCTCCTGGCTGATCCAGGGACCCACATCTTACTTCCAGATGGACATTCACATCTTCGAGCCCCAGGGCATCAGCTTCCTGGAGACAGAGAGCACCTTCATGACCAACGAGCTGGTAGATGCCCTCATCACCTCGCAGAATAAGACCAAGGTGGGCCTGTCGTGGGCAGCAGGTGAGGGTACCAAGGGCCCTGCCTTCAGACCAGTCCTATGAACCTGGATTTCTGGAGAGCAGCATAGGCAGATGCTGTGAGCTGGAGAGGCTCCTGAGATCTCTGCGTCCTTACTGTCATTTGGCAGATGGGGAGGGCAAAGCCTAGAGAAGGACTGTGGAGTCCTCATATGAGCCCTGAGACCTTTCTGGGAAGGGACTGGAGAATAGACTGATGTGAGGGTCCTGGGGCCAGGTGGAGAGGAGGAGATGGCCAGATTGCACACATCCTGGAACAGCCTCTGCTTGTGCAGCTCCAGGAACAGGGTGCTCATCACACCCCGCTCTACTGCCCCACTGTGTGAAAGTGGCCCATCAATAACTCAGCCTGAGAGAAAGTGCCCTGGAATATGGATCCAAGGCTGCTTCCTGGAATTCTGATTTCCCATTATACAGAGAAGGGTAGAGGGTGTTGTTGGCCTGGATTTGCTGTTCCTCCCAACTTCAGCCCGGATTATTCCTCCAGGCTCACATCCGGTTCAAGCCAACGCTCTCCCAGCAGCAAAAGTCGCCAGAGCAGCAAGAAACAGTCCTGGACGGCGACCTCATTATCCGCTATGATGTGGACCGAGCCGACTCTGGGGGCTCCATTCAGGTGGGTGGACTCCAGGCAAAAGCAAAGCAGCCTAGAAGTCTGTCCACCCGCAAGGGCCTGAACTTGGGTATTTTAGAAGAGGAAAAGAAGCACCCTTACTTAGCAGTGTGCACCAGGGACCGGCACAGACAGAAGACGTGGTTTAGTTGTATTGTCCTTGAAACTATTCCCTTTCCCTTGCAGAAAAGGTTTGTCTCTGAGAAGAGCTGCCCTGTGGGGTTTCCCTCTTTGCCGCTGCTGCTAGGAGGCTCACAACTCAGTTTTACGCACATTTTCAGTCGTTTCTTTCACACTACTTTCTGGCATTATCATCATTATTATTATTTTTTTGGTATGATCATGGCTCATTGCACCTTTAAACTCCTGGGTTCAAAGGATCCTCCTGCCTCTCAGCCTCTCTACTAGCTGGGATTACAAGCGTACACCACCACACCTAGCTAGTTTTGTTTTTTTTTTAAGTAGAGGCAAGGTTGCCCAGACTGGTCTTGAATTCCTGGGCTCAAGTGATCATCCCACCTCAGCCTCCCAAAGTGATGGAATTACAGGCGTGATCCACCACAGCTGGCCATTTCTGCCATTATATTTTCCTTCCCTTTTACACCATGTTTTTGAAGCTTTCCCTCCCTCTTGATGGTTATGTGGTTTATGATATCTGAACTTTTTAGTATAGGCCATCTGAAATATTAAAATGGAGGAAAAGTTGTAGGGAGAGTTCTAGTGGGCTGCACATGAGCAGGGAAGGCTTCTGCAAGAAAGGGGTTAATCTGAACCCTGAAAGAGGGCAAAGTCTTGGGGAGGTTAGCAGTCGGATGGAATAGAGCACAGAAACCCAAGAATTTGGGATAAGGGGGCTGCATGGGGATAGGGCACAACTGTAGCTCTGATGGCCTGGGTGGGTCTCCCTCTGACCACAGATCGAGAATGGCTACTTTGTACACTACTTTGCCCCCGAGGGCCTAACCACAATGCCCAAGAATGTGGTCTTTGTCATTGACAAGAGCGGCTCCATGAGTGGCAGGAAAATCCAGCAGGTAGGTCCTGTGGGCCAGGGCAGGGCCCTGAAAGCTCCCAGACTCCTCATGCCATCAGCTGTGGTCTGGCAGGCAGCCCCTTTCCTCCATCTTTTGGTGGCATGGGGTGGGTGGCTCTCAGGAGCCAAGGTTGGCCAGAGCCTAAGGCAGCCGCTGTTCCCCAGAGCAGATACCATGACCCCACCCCTGAGACAGGAGTCCAGGGATGCGAGCCCTCAGGGAGCCCTTCTGCACCACCCACATGTCTCCTCTGCCTAACCAGACCCGGGAAGCCCTAATCAAGATCCTGGATGACCTCAGCCCCAGAGACCAGTTCAACCTCATCACCTTCAGTTCAGAAGCAACCCAGTGGAGCCCATCGCTGGTGCCAGCCTCAGCAGAGAATGTGAACAAGGCCAGGAGCTTCGCTGCCGCCATCCACGCCCTGGGAGGTGAGTGCCTCTGGGGCCCGGCAGGGTGGGGGCTTCAGGGCTCCTGTCTGGGGGCCACCTTGAGACTGTGTTCTCCTCAGGTACCAACATCAATGATGCGGTGCTGATGGCTGTGCAGCTGCTGGACCGCAGCAACCGCGAGGAGCGGCTGCCCACCCGGAGCGTCTCGCTCATCATCCTGCTCACGGACGGCGACCCCACCGTGGGTGAGGGCCCTGCCAGCAACTCCAAGACACGCTGCACAGGGGAGGCAGCTGGGGCTGCACCTGGGCTTGCTGTGGGATCTGGGCAGGAAGTTGAGGCCCTCCAACTCTGAGGTTCCAGAAATATTCATTGAGCAAATCACTGTTCTCTCACCCTCATCCCAAACCCCTGGGTCCAGGGGAGACTAACCCCAGGAACATCCAGAAGAACGTGCGAGAAGCTGTAAGTGGCCAGTACAGCCTCTTCTGCCTGGGCTTCGGCTTCGATGTCAGCTACGCCTTCCTGGAGAAGCTGGCGCTGGACACCGGTGGCCTGGCCCGGCGCATCTATGAGGACTCGGACTCTGCCCTGCAGCTCCAGGTGCCAGCATGCCCCAGATGGGCTTCACAGAGAAGTGGGCAGACCCAGCTCTGCCTTTGTGACACTCCCAACCCTGCAGGACTTCTACCAGGAAGTGGCCAACCCACTGCTGACAGCGGTGACCTTCGAGTACCCGAACAACGCCGTGGAGGAGGTCACTCAGGACAACTTCCGGTTCCTCTTCAAGGGCTCGGAGATGGTGGTGGCTGGGAAGCTCCGGGACCAGGGGCCTGATGTGCTCACAGCCAAAGTCAGTGGGCACCTGGTGAGTGTGGCCAAAGCCACCCTGGAGGGGAAGGGCAGCCTCCACCTTTGCAGCTGGAAGAACTGTGTTCAAATCCCAGACCTGCCCAGCTCCAGCTTGCCTCAAGGGGCCCCCAGCCTGCAGCTTCCCCCTCTGCTGCCTGTGGATGGCACAGGGGCATGCCAGGGATTCAATGAGGCAATGGAGTGATTCTCATGAGACCACCTGTGCTTTGCTCAGCACATACAGGCACTCGGCAGCTGGTCTGTGTTATCTGCAAGCACAGGTGAGGACAGGGATTCCTTCCTAGTTGTCATCCCCTCCTGTCCTTGTACCAACCCTCTCAGGTTGCAGTCAGGCAGGGAGGGTCTCTCCCATTTCACAGATGAGCATACTGAGCTCCAGGCAGGGCAGGTAACTTGCCCTGGGCCCTGCTGCAACTGGTCCAAGAGCCCAGCTTGCCATGTGGTGCCCTGTCCTTGCCCAGCCTTTCCTGTTTCCTTTCAGGGACCCCCCTGTCATTCCACAAAGAGAAACTGAGCACAGCTCTGTGGCGGGGCCTTCTTCAGGCCCTGGGGGTGCAGTGGTGAATGAGGCTAACCCCTCTGTGCCCTCATGGAAGAGACAGCCCAAAGACATATCATCACACAAACAAGGAGCTACAGGCTGGGATCTAACTCTGGACTCAGGAGAGCAGCTCTAGGAGCCCCAGCCTGGCCTGGGGATCAGGGAGGGCTTCCTGGAGGAGGCCTAGCAGAGACTAAGGGATAGGTAGGAAAAGTGGGCAGAATCCAGATGGGGCAATGGAGGAACACATTAGGCCCCTGTGGCATGAGGGCAGTGTATGTGAAGAGAATAGCAGTGGGTGATGGGGGCCCATGGCCTTGTCTCAGGACAAGTAGCCAAGTATCATGACTGTTGGTACAGGCCACGTGGCCAACCTACCTGGCTTCCAACCCAGCTCTGTCACCTCCCAGATGGGAGATATGGGGAAGTCACTTAACATCCATGTGCCTCAGTTTCCTCCTGTGTAAACATGGGAATACATCACATGCTCCCCTCCTAAAGTCACTGTGGGATTGCTGTCTGGTCTAGTATAAGCACTCCATACATGTAAGCAGCTGATTGAGCTTGGAGGCCAGGGCTCCCCAAAGGTGACTCAGGGGAGTTCATAGACAGACATAGCTTTGTTTCAGTAATTATTTCGTTATTTTAATGTGTATTCTTAAAAATATGACCTGAACCTCAGACCTAAAATTTTATGGATGTTATTGCTTGGGATAAAGCCAAGTAAAAATTGTTAGCCTATTTAAAGTTCATTTAAGGAAAAATATCAATTAAATTGGAGCTGTATGTATGGATGGGGCAAAATTCGTGCAGGTAGCCTATGTGTGCCAGAGCTTTGGGAAGCCAGCCAGGCCCTGGGTGAGAGATGGGCTGCTTCCAGTGGGAGTAGAGGCTCTAGGCCTATCTGATCCACATGGGGTCTGATCCACATTATGAAAAGGTCTCTTGGCCACTCTGGGAGTTCTGGTGGGCGAGGCCTTGGATTCCTCTGCCCTAGGAGCCCATCTTCCAGGCAGCGAGCTGGGTAGGCCTGAGACCACAGGCCCCTCCCTGGGGGAGGAGGAGCAGGTTCACACAGAGCTTGGGTGCACACTTCCCTGTCACCATCCCACAGTGGCCAGCCCCAGCAGAGGGGCCAGCTTGGGCAGGGACCGCCATTGGAGTGGATGGGGCCCCAGACCCAGAGTCATGACTTCTGAGTTCCATTCTCAATTCTGCCTCTGACCCCTGGGAAGGTCCTTCCCTCTTTGTTCCTTTCCCCCACCTTTGGGGTAAGGGCCGGCTGTAGCTAGGGACCCTTCCTGCTCTACACTGCACTTGCAAATACTTCCTGCTGCTGTTTCTACACTGGCCTGGGCTTCCCATCCTTTCTCCCAGAGGTTTAACTGATCTGAGTCCTGGCTCTGTGCCTGCCTCGTTGCACCTGGGCTACCTTACCTCCTTCTCATCCCTGTATGCTCTGTGACTGAGCCCCTCGCACCCCTAAGCCCCCTCTTTACCCCCACTCTACTCAAAGGAAATGCAGTCCTTGCAGTTGGTGCATGGGACCTGCCCCAGCTCCAACCAGGAAGAGCTCAGAAGTGCCAGGCCAGGTGCAGATGTCAGGCCCTCACTGCTCCTGCCCTGGCTGGGCCCCTCTTTCCAGACTATGCAGAACCTCACTTTCCAAACGGAGTCCAGTGTGGCAGAGCAGGAGGCGGAGTTCCAGAGCCCCAAATATATCTTTCACAACTTCATGGAGAGGCTGTGGGCATATCTGACTATCCAGCAGCTGCTGGAGGGAACGTGAGTGCATCAGCATCTCCCTAAGCCTGTCAGTAGGAGGCAGGCACAGGTGGCATGGGACTGTGCCTAAGCATGGAGAGAGCGGGGTCTTGGTATAGTTCCAGATTCTCCCAGAGGGATCTCCCCAGAAGGGGCTGGATGGAAAATCTGTTCCTGAATTCATGGACCTCCTGAGCTCTGATGTCCTCAACCTGCAGTGTCTCTGCGTCCGATGCTGAACAGCAGGTCCTGCGGACCCGAGCGCTGAACTTGTCACTTGCCTACAGCTTTGTCACGCCTCTCACATCTATGGTAGTCACCAAACCTGAAGACCAAGAACAGTCTCAAGTTGCTGAGAAGCCAGTGGAAGGCGGTGGGTGTGGGGTTGAGATCTCAGCTTCCCAGGTGGCAGAGATCAAACCCAGCATTTTCTCTGGCCTTTCCTTGCATCCTGACCAAGACCCCAACTGTGCCCCCCACAGACTCCCCCTGGGAGATTCAGCCTGTTCACTGATGAGGAAAGTGAGGCCATGTCTCCTATCTCCTGGGATTGGGTAGCAAGATTAAACATAAGTGCTTTAGATTGATGAAAACCCACTGTGACTGCCCCTCCCCCTCCCCTCCCCTCCTCTCCTCTCCCCCTCCCTCTTTCTTCTTGCTAGCTGACTCTCTCTTGTTCTCTGTCTTATCCAGAAACTAGAAACAGTAATATTCTCGCTCTCTCTGTCTCCCATCCAGATAGTAGATACAGGAATGTCCACCCAGGTAAGCAGCTAACATCCTCATGGCTGTGCTGGGTGGTGGTCAGCTAACACAGGGTTCAGGCACCAGCCCTGTGAGGTTGCTGGCCAGGGCCAGGTCCGCCCAGGCCTCTCCAGCCCAGCCCTGCTTCCAGGAGGCAGCATAGTGTGACCCAGCACACTGGTGCATTTAGTCACCTGTGCATTGGAATACTGGCTGCCCCTCAGGCCCCGGCCCCAGCACTAGGAACACAGTCCCTATTCAAGCGGGGCCACAGGAAGGTGGGTGCAAGAAGCAAACCCAGGTCCCACTGTTTTCCAGGTTACGCTTTCTTCAGACATCATGTCCAGGGAGCCCCGAGGGCAAAAATACCAAAAACAGGTTACAAAGAAGGAGGTAGGGGAGGGGAGATTGACAGATTGGCTGGGTTCTGGCTGTGGAGGGGGAGTGCCTTGCCCAGCTCCTCTGGCTGGTGACTGCCCTGGGGCTTCAGCTCAGTTGTATCTGATTAGTATGGGGCCACATGGGGTATTTCCATTCTTCAGCAAGAGGATCGAGTGGACAAGGTAGTTTGAGGGGTGCTGCCAGGGTGAGGCATGACATCCCCGGGGAGGAGTTCGAGGGGGGCTGTTATTGTTCCAGCATTGATTTTCTCCCTCGGTCAGGGGAGAGGCTCCCGAGTTGGCCGGGTGTGGGGAGGGGGGACCTAGCTGCCCTCTCCACACCACTCCTGGGTGGATCTCAAGCCCTGACTATGAGGACCCACACACCACCTGAGACAAGACTGCATCTGTCAACTTCTCCAAAGCTGGAGTTTCTGGATTCCGGACAAATTTCGGAACTGGAGGTGTTGGCTTCAGGAAACTTGGACTGCCAGGGCCTCCTGTTGCTTCTGACCCTGCAGCTTTCCACCCCTTCCGCCTTCTGGCCTTGTGTAAGCCACCTTCCAGCCCTGTGAGGGCCTCGGTTTCCCCACGGTGGTACTTGAGCCTGCCCATAGAGGGGGGTGAGGGAAAGCACGAACCACAGGCCAGGCCAGGGATGGCTGCTGAGGGCACCATGTGAAGTCACTGTGCGTCAGTTCAGCCTGGGATCGTGTCCTGGGGCTGGGGTGTGATGCATTTCCTAAGGAGGCTGTCCTCACCTTCCCAGCTCTCTACAGCCATCCCTGCCCTGTCCTCAGCATCTCATCGCCGCAGGTGTGAGCACAACAGGCTCCTTCTGCTGTCAGACCACGGGTGGGCGGTGATGGAGCAGCCTCTCCCACACTCCTTGTTCAGAGGGGACCCTAGGCCCCAAGAGGGCCAGGGGCTGGCCAAGAGTGCACGTCACAACACTCTTTGGAGCAGTCCTTGCCAGCTCCCTCCCTCCAAAGGCCCTTCTCCCCAGTGCCTCCCCTCCCCAAGGCAGGACTTCACTGTCCTTTAAGTTGACTGAGTATGATCCACTAGATTAGAGGCTGACTCATGAGGAAATCTTCTAGGAAGGCAGGACTTTCTCTGTCCACAAAGCCAACAGGGGTCCCTTGAACTGTTTCTGATCCCCAAATCTGCACTTGAACGCAGCCGCAGAGCCAGGCTGGACCTATCCCTGACAGCATGCTCTTCTGTTTGAAAATCTCCCACGGCAAAGACTGTTCTAGGTGGAGTGTATGTGTGGCAAGCTGGGGGTGCTGGAGCTTGGTGACACAGTGGGTAGCAGTGCTGCTGGTTTCTGGCCTCCTGACTGCCTTCCTTCCCCCTTTCTGTTTCCGGACGTTCCTGCACTGATACCGCTTCAGCTCCACCAGCCCCCTCAAATCCTGATTCAGCTGTGTCTGGTGTCATGAATATCGAAACCAAAGGTGCCCCCAGGGCCAGAGGCCCTGTCCTAGTAGGGAGCTCCTGGGAGGGGAGTTTCTCATTGGGAACCTGGCCACACCTAGTCCCTGCTCCCTCCCTCAGCCTCCCACTCCCCAGGAAGGGCTGCCTACACCCAGCCTTTCTCTTCTTTTAGAAACATCTATGACATCCCAAACCCCAGGTAAGTTTCCAGCCTCCTCGGCCCCCTTCCCCATCCTTGCCCCCAGCCTGCCCTCCCTGCTCCAGGAGCCGTGCCCCGGCTGTCCCAGCCTTCATACAGGCTCCTTCTGCCATCCTGCCACTGCCTGGGCAGAGCGTGGAGTGGCTCTGTATGGACCCCAGATACCGCCACGGGCCAGTGAACCTGCTCTCAGACCCTGAGCAAGGTGAGAGGGGCACAGCCAGAGAGACTCAGACACCACTGGCACACACCCACCACCTGCCCACTGAGACACACAGCATGCGCAGGCCTGGCCTCACGCAGGCCCCCCAGATTATAGCACGGTCCTGCCTCCAAGCCCTGGCACAGGTACACACTCACACAGCCACCCCAGCGACCTTCCCCTGGGTACACTGTGTGCAGGTATGAGTGGCCTGGACACAGATAAATGTGGCAACCATGGAGGTGAGCCTAGAGGAGGAGCCAGGGTGAGGCAAGGGTCAGGGGAGCTGTCTACGGTCGCACAGGGATGGCAGGGCCCTGGCAGTGCACAGAGACCAGCATGAGGATGCTCCATATGGAGGAGTTAGTACCCGCAGAATACAGAGCCCTGAAAGATGGGACCCTAGAAGGTGTGGATGAGGGGAATGGCAGCAAGAGATAGGGCTGCTGGCTGGGCCCCGCCCCTTCAATCCTGGACCAGACATGGGGATGCACCACCTTGCCCCACTCAAAACCGAGCAACATCCACTGCTTTCTCATTCCTTCAGAAGCATGTGGCTTCCCACTTCCTCAGTCAGGCCCAAGAGTGTCTGTCCTGAGGGCAGGGAACACTGATTCTCCATGTCACCCTTGGCAGAGGCATCTAGCTCAGGGCCAGGTACTCTGCAGGGTGTGCTGAAGGCTTATTGACTGGAGACAAGTCAATTCTCAAAGGCCTTATCTGAGGGTGGTCATCACCGAGGATTTAGGGGCCCCTCCAAAGCCATAGACACCACAGGATGAGAGACGAAATTGTGGGAGCCAGCCCCCCATGTGGAAGAATGCTGAGGATGGGCACCCCTCCTGAGGAGCTGCTGCAGAACTCCAGGGGGTGTGATCAGGGAGGACTCCCTGGGCAGGTGGGTGTCAGCCCTGGCTGGGGCCCAGCTTTGACCTCTCTGGTCTGGTCCTCCCAGGGGTTGAGGTGACTGGCCAGTCCCAGATGGAGAAGGCTGGGTTCTCATGGATTGAAGTGACCTTCAAGAACCCCCCAGTACGGGTTCACGCAGCCCCTGAACAAGTGGTGGTGACTCGGAACCGAAGAAGTTCTGCATACAAGTGGAAGGAGACGCTGTTCTCAGTGATGCCTGGGTAAGGCCCAGGCTGGGGTGAGGGCAAGGGGTGACCTTTCAGGCTACAGTGGCTGATGATGGTACTAGCAGGTGGCCTGAGGCCATGCACCTGTGAATGGAGTGGCTACACTCACAGGAGAGGCAAAGAGCAGAGAGCCCTGCTGTATACCCCTGCAGCTCCGGAGGGCACAATCCAGGTCTCTGTCCCATGCAGGAGATGGTATGGTTTGGAGCTAGCTCTGCTGCGAATCCTTTGTGACCCTGGACAGGCAGCTTAGTCCCTCTGAGCCTCAGTTCCCTCACTGATAACCAGGACTAATCATCCTGGCCCAGAGTCAGAGGCTGGGGGAAAACACAATGAGAGAGTGTAGTTGGGAGCACTTTGCCACCAGATGATGAGGTACCCCAGGCACCCCACAGGACAGCGCTGTCTCTGTAGTGACTGTGATGTTCTGATGACAATAATGAGAAGCTGGAGAGGACGGTTGACAGGGGAGGTTACCAGCATTCTCTTAGCATATCCTTAGAGCTCTGCTAAGGAGATACAAGTCAGTGGCCTCAAATACTGAACAGCTGGTGAATAATTAAGGCAGAAGCCCACCTCTTCTGGTGGCACAGCTTGCTGCTTCACAGTGGACTTCAAGGGACCGTCCTCCAGCTTTGCAGATCACGAGGGGCCTCAGGGAAGGGCTGAGGCCCTGATCTTGTGTGGGCAGTGCCCTCTGAACCCCTGCCTTGGAAAGGGTGAGCTATGGCTCACCCTCCTCCAAGTATAGGGAACCTTGTCCAGCCCCGCCTCACCAAGCCCTCCGTGGGGACTCCCTTGCACTTGACAGATGGTTCACACCTGGCTAATCCAAGGGCTCCCCCACAAACCTTCCCATTTCATAAAAGATCTAGGCTGGGTGCGGTGGCTCACACTTGTAATCCTAGCACTTTAGGAGGCAGAAGCAGGCGGCTTGCCTGAGTTCAGGAGTTCGAGACCAGAATCTGGAACTAGAATACAAAAAATTAGCCAGGCATGGGGACATGCTTCTGTAATCCCAGCTACTTGGGAGGCCGACAGGAGAACTGTTTATACCTGGTAGGCGGAGCTTGCTGTCAGCTGAGATTGCGCCACTGCACTCCAGCCTGGGCGACAGAGCAAGACTCTGTCTTAAAAAACCAAAAAAGATCTAAAAGTTGGCCAGACACAGTGACTCATGCCATCATACCATTCAACACAAGAGTAATCCCAACACTCTGGGAGGCTGAGGCAGGTGGATCATTTGAGGCCAGGAGTTTGAGACTAGCCTAGCCAACATAGTGAAACTCTTGTCTCTACTAAAAATACAAAAACTAGCCAGGTGTGGTGGCGGGCACCTGTAATCCTACTCAGGATGCTGAGAATCACTTGAACCTGGGAGACTAAGGTTGCAGTGAGCTGAGATAATGCCACTGCACTCCAACCTGGGCAACAGAGTGAGACCCTGTCTCAAAAAAAAAAAAAAAGAAAGAAAGAAAATCTAAAATTTCTTATTATCTGGTAGATTCACCAAAATCAATAGCATTTTTATGCCTAGAAAATGAAATAGAAGTAAATTCCTATTAATTGTAGGGAGAGAAAGTCCACATACTTTCATGAGCTACATAAGACATAAATAAGGAAAAATAGGTCCGGCACAGCGGCTCATGCCTGTAATCCCAGCACTTTGGGAGGCTGAGGTGGGCAGATCACCTAAAGTCAGGAGTTTTGAGACTAGCCTGGCCCACATGGTGAAACCATTGTCTCTATTAAAAATACAAAAATTAGGACCAACACAGTGGCTCACACCTATAATCCCAACACTTTGGGATCATGTCGTCAAAGATTGTTACCATCCTGGCCAACATGGTAAAATCACAAAAATTAGCTTGATGTGGTGACATGCGCCTGTAGTCCCAGCTACAGGCTAAGGCAGGAGAATCGCTTGAACCTGGGAGGCGGAGGTTGCAGTGAACCGAGATCATGTCATTGTACTCTAGCCTGGCAACAGAGTGAGACTCTCAAAAAGAAAGAAAAATAGGCCACATCGGTTTTTTTTTTGAAATGGAATCTCACTCTGTTGCCAGGGCTGAAGTGCCGTGGCGCAATCTCGGCTCACTGTGACCTCCACCTCCCGGGTTCAAGGGATTCTCCTGCCTCAGCCTCCCAGTAGCTGGGATTACAGGCGCCTGCCACCATGCCCAGCTAATATTTGTATTATGAGGAGACAGAATGAGAAGAGGCCTACTCTTTAGACATTAAACACGAGTCATCCAAAGAGAATGGACCAGCCACAGAACAAAAGGGACAGAGTGGATGCATCAGAGAAACTCCTTCAATCATATAAAACTAATTTATGAGAAACCAGATTTAAGAAAACCAGGCAGGCGTGGTGGCTGGCACCTGTAATTCCATCACCTTGGGAGGCTGAGGTGGGCAGATTGCTTGAGCTCAGGAGTTTGAGACCAGCCTGGGCAACATGATGAAACCTCTCTCTCTTAAAAATAAAAAATTTAGCTGGGGATGGTGGCATGTACCTGCAGTCCCAGCTACTTGGGAGGTAGAGGTAGAAAGATCACCTCAGCCAAGGAGGCAGAGGCTGCAGTGATCACACCACTGCACTGCAACCTGGGCAACAGAGACTCTGTCCCCCCAAAAAGGGGAGAACAAAGTGCCAGGAAACCAGACATCATTAAGTCAGCTTTGGTCCTATTTTACCAGTGAGGAGACTGAAACCCAGAAGATTTAAGGGCCTTCCCACCTAAGGCCACTCCATGACTTCCTGGACAAGAGGGGAACCCTAGCCCACTCCCCACCCCGACTGCTGGGGTTCCATGCACATGTCTCTGCCTTCCTGCTCAAGATGCTGGGTCTTCCCACAGCCTGAAGATGACCATGGACAAGACAGGTCTCCTGCTGCTCAGCGACCCAGACAAAGTGACCATTGGCCTGTTGGCCTGGGATGGCCCTGGAGAGGGGCTCCGGATTTTTCTGCGTGACACTGACCGCTTCTCCAGCCACGTTGGCGGGACCCTTGGTACTGTGCCCATTGCCGGGGCCCAGGCCTTCCTCAAAAACCAGCTGTGCCTGGGAACAGGCGGCACCCCTCCCCTGCGCATGTCTCCCAGGCTCCCTCTGTCTATCCCTTACTGACCCACCCTTTGTATCTCAGGCCAGTTTTACCAGGAGGTGCTCTGGGGATCTCCAGCACCATCGGATGACAGCAGACGCATGCTGAGGGTTCAGGGCACTGACCACTCTGCCACCAGGTGATCTGGCACAACCAGGCCGCTGAGCCTGGCTGGCGTGGGGTGGGGACTGGGGGGCGGGCCGGGAGGCTGGCGCTACAGAGCCCCTCTTTCTGTCCTTGTCCAGGAACTAGACACAGTCCAGTGAAGGTTGATCCTTTAGGCATGTCTAAGCCAGCTTTCAGTGTCACCACAGAAGATGAATGGCCATCTCAGAGCCACAGAAAACACATGGGCCCTGAGATCCCTGGGGTTGGTTGGGGACACTGGGAACCTCTCCCTGTCCACACCCTGAACTCCCAGAGCCCTAGACCCTGGAGACCTCACATACTGGCTTCTCTAGGGTAACATTCCAGGTGACTGGGCCTTGGCCTGTGCTAGAGGGAATTTTAGAGGGACCCAGGACTCCCTACCCTCTGTTTCTGTCCCCAGCTGTCTCCCTCTTTTCCCATCACACCTGCGATTTGCTGACCACCTGTGTATCTGTCTGTCTGTCTGTCTTTCCATTTCAGAAAGCGCAAGCTGGATTACCAGGAGGGGCCCCCGGGAGTGGAGATTTCCTGCTGGTCTGTGGAGCTGTAATTCTGATGGAAGAAACTGTGTTCACTCTGTACATTTGGCTGCCCCTGCAACTAGAGGGCCGCCTCTGGGGCCTGGACCACCATAGGGAGAAAGAGTCTCATTCATTACAAATAAAGACAGGTGGTGTGAGCCCAGGAAGTGGGTGTCTCTGGTTCCATGTGGCCAAATCCCAGGGCCTCAGCCTTGCACCCTGAACCTTAGCATCATGGAACATAGAAGTTCCACTGTCAGCTCTCAAGGGCCGGTGGCCGGGAAGGCCCATGCTGAGCTTTCAGTCCAGCCCCCTCGTTTTACAAACAAGGAAACTGAGCTCAAACCACCCATTTAAGATGTCACTCCAGCCCCCAGCTAGGGGCCCAGGGCTGGGAGCATTCTCCAGAAGCAGAGGTTCAGTCTGCTTCATGGTTGCTTGGACTGTGAAGACCAGTTTTGACTAAAAAGAAGAGTGAACTAGGTTGGAATTCTTTCTAGTCCAGTTCCTAGACTTTCTCAGTGAGCTTTTAGACCACTCTGCAATGGGATTTACTTTACACAATTTGACTTTCACACCTGTGCTGAGGGGCAGGCCTGTCTGCTCATTGTCTTGTAAGGGAGTGTTGGGTCTTCGAAGGAGACACAGGTGAGGCCCCAGGTGCAGCAGGGACACAGGGCCTATTCCCAGGAACCTCTAGTCTGATGGAGCTGATCTGGGTCCCAACTCTAAATCCTGTGCTGGAGAGGGTCTCCTGTCCTGTTCCTGCCCCAGGGCCAAGAAACCCAAAGATTCCACCAATTCCTGTACAGGCAACGTATACTTTAAACACTTTACAGCCGGGTGCAGTGGCTCACACTCGTAATCCCAGCACTTTGGGAGGCCAAGGCAGGGGGATCAATTAAGTCCAGGAGTTTGAGACCAGCCTGGGCAACATGACAAAAACCCATCTCTACAAAAAATACAAAAATTAGCTGGCATGGTGGCGCACGCCTGTAGAGTCACTACTCGGGTGACTGAGGTTGGAGAATTGTTTTGAGCATGGGAGGTTGTGGCTGCAGTGAGCCATGATCGTGCCCCTCCATTCCAGCCTGGACAACAGAGCAAGACCCTGTCTCGGAGAAATAAAAAAAATTACTATTACCCCACGTACTTCTGAAAAAAGGATATGAGTCTGTCGCTTACAAAGCATAAAGAGAATAAAATCAAAATCTGTGAGTATAAGGATAAAAGCCAAACCAAAGGTGACTGAGCTCAGGGACATCAGTATCAGCGAAGCTGCAGCAGTGCCTGAGTGCAAGGCTTTGCTGTGAGCTTCCTGGAAACCAAGGTAAAGCAGAAACTGAGTTCATTTGCTTGCTAAAAGGAAACACCAGATCATCAGGGAAATGTCCTTTTCCAGCTCTTGAGCTAGAAGAGGGTATTTGCTGGATGGGTCTTTCTAGAAGGGTCAAAGTACAGGCTGGTGGGAGGTGTCGCCAGCAGCAGGCTTGCCCAACATACAAAAACGCTCCTCCTGCATTGCTGCCTCCCCATCGAGCCTCCTTTGGCAGATAGGGGTCTCAGGCAGAGTCACTTTGTAAAGGCTTTTTTGGGGGGCTCAGGCCAGGGCCATGTGAGAGGACAGCAGCTCAGGGGGGTTTGCTGTGGGGCTAGCCCTGACATACAGGGATGAGAGGGGAGCGCCCACCCCAAACTCACCCCTCTGGGACATGACCTCCTGGACTGGCTGCTGAATTTGTGCCACAGCAGGGGCATCACAGTTGATTTTCTGGCCCTGCCAGCACCTGCAGGGCAAGTGTTCTCTGTGAACAGTTGAAAATAGGCCCATGCTCTTCACCGTCATCCAGCAGGTGCTTTCCAGCTTGGGGAAGGCCCTGGGTCGAATGCTACGGGCACATTGGACACCATGGCAGACACAAGGCCTGTGGTGATAACTGCCACCCAGAAAATAACCAGGTGCTGCGGGAGCCCAGAGGGAGGCATAAAGATGACTGGGAAGCCTGGGGGTAGCAGGGAAGGCTTCCTGGAGGTAATGTTGTGGGGGATGAGATTTGAAAAATGGAGAGAAGTTAGCCAAGTGGAAAAGGAGGGCAAGGACACCAGGTGGTGGGAACAGCATGCATCCAGGCCGAGAGCCAGGACACTGTGTGCCAAGTTCAGGGAAGATGATGGGAGGAGATGCTGTTGGATGAGGTGGAAGGGGAGGGGCGCCAGGCCAGCACAGGTGGTGTACACCTCATCACGGAGCACGGCTTCTACCCTGAAAGGGGAGGGAGGCCCAGGCAGGGACAGGTGGGACCGGGGTGATGTGGAATGGGGAGAAGGCAGAGTCCACCTCGCTTTTGCCTGCAAGGGTGGCCTCCCTGCCTATGGGTTGAGGGGAGGTGCCTCCAGGCACGTGGCTGCTACCTGGAGCTGTTGTCCTGGAGGCACTTCAGAAGGACCAGAAACCATAATGAGGACACCTTTTCACATCTGTTGCCTGGCAGGATTCTTCTCCCCATTTCATAGATGTGGAAACTGACCTCAAGATGACTGTCTTAAAGTTATGTGGGCCGGGGGCAGTGGCTCACACCTATAATCCCAGCACCTTGAGAGGCTGAGGCCGGCAGATCACTTGAGCCCAGGAGTTCAAGACCAGCCTGAACAACATAGCAAAACCTTGTCTCTGCAAAAAGTACAAAAATTAGCCGGGTGTGATTACACATGCCTGTAGTCCCAGCTACTCCAGAGGCTGAAGGGGGAGGATCTCCTGAGCCCAAGAAGTCGAGGCTGTGGTGAGCTGTGATCATACCACTGCACCACTGCAGCCTGGCGATGGGAGTGAAACCCTATCTCAAGAAAAAAATAATAGCTGTATGGCTCCTCGATCAGCCCAGGCTTGAACAGGATGGTGGGACTTGCCCACTATGGAGGGGTCCCTTCTCAGGCCTGGGCCCTTTTAGCCAGTCCAGCCTGGCCCTCTGCCACATTCACCCTGGGACTATGAGGAGGACTATGAGGAGGCCCTGGGAAGATGGGAGCCATGTCTATGTGGCCCCCTCCCTAGAGCAGCAACAGGCACCAATCTGCCATTAGCATCCTATAGCCACCTGGGGGCTCCTCTGATGACACATACTTCCCCCTGGACCACCCTTCATGGCCTCCAGTCCTCTCTCCAGGAGCCCCAGCGCTGGGAGGCAGGATAACCCAAAGCCACATGCCATGCCCCGCTAACATTTGTGGCTCTTCCCAGTCTGATTCCAACCTCCTCCAACCTTAATGTGCCCCCTGCTGACATCAGGCAAAGTCACTCACTGTGTCCTCCAACAAGGTGCTCTCTGCTCAGCATGCCCTTACCCCCTCCCTGCCCCCAGGCAGAGAGAACAGCAGAAGCAAAGGATGTGGGCAGGAGAGGTTATGTTTGCACAGCCAAGAGCAGCGTGTGTGTCTGGAGCCCAGAAGGAAAGGGAAGCACCTGGTGTATGAGGGGAAGCTGGAGAGGCCATAGGAAGGACTTTTGTCATGGTTCCAAGAGCAAAGGATGGAATATATCATTTGTAGGGATTTAGGCAGCGAGTGGTGATCACATCTGCTCTGTGAAAAGCTCTCTATAGGAAGCAGTAGGGGAGGCAGGCAGACTCAGGAAGGGGCAGTTGCAGTTGTCCAGGTGGGAGAGGGTTGTTCAGACTGGAGATCTCTCAGAGCCCTTTCTCCAGGAACCTCTCTCTGACCCTCTACCCCACCCCAGACTCATTGGGAGGATACATCAAGTAGTCATCCTGAGGTATAATCAGAGGGTCCCAAAGGCGCCTGGCTCAGCTGAAGACAAACTTGAGCACTCATGAAAATAGGAACTGGATTACTCAATTGTACCCCGAGATCCTGGCCCAGGGTATTGTGTTTATCTGCTGAATTGATGGATGGGTACGTGGGTAGATGGGTGGGTGAACTGACGGATGGATGGATGGACAAATGGAGAGATGGACAGATGGTAGTAGGATGGATGGGTAGAAGGATGCACAGTTGGATAATGAATAGGTAGCTGAGGGATGAATGGATGAATGGACAGATGGTAGGAGGGATGGATGGAGAGGTTGATGGGTGGATGCATGCATGGTGGAGGGATAGACGGATGAGTGGATGTGTGGGTGAGCAGATGGTCGAATGGTGAATGGGTAGGTGAATGGATGGATGGGTGGATGAATGGTGGTAGACGGATGGATAGATGGAAGGGTGGCTGACATCCCCATTTAGATGTGGGCTGTGTCTGCTTTGGAGTATTATCTGCTTCTAAAGATCCTGATTGGAGCTCCTGAGCCAGGACCATTTATTTATCTTATGCCTTTCCTGGATACTGAAATGCATTCAACCCTTCCTGACTTAGAGCCCCTTTCCTTCAGTTAGTTCTTTATTTTTCCCCCAAGCTGTCATACATTTGACTCCCTAAAGTTCCAGTCCAACCAACTCTGTCTCTCAGTTGTGTCAGTTGAGAGGCCCAAGAAAGTTGCCTTCCTGCTAGCCATCCCCTCTTTTGAGCTGCTGTGGGTCCCAACTGCCTGTTCCCTGGAGAAGAGGCTCATGGAGGCATGTAGAGGCTGGCAACTGTCTGGTTTCCACCTTGGGCTTTATTTTCCCAGCCCCTCCCACAGGCCCCTCTCTGTGCCCATGTTCCAGATGCCACAAAAGCTGGGCCAGCCATCCCAACAGGAGCTGGCGTGTCTACTCAAAACAGGCTGGGGATGACATAGTCGGTGTGGACACCATCAATCAGCCCTTGCCCGTTGTTATGGACGAACCAGCAGACAACCTTCGTGCCAACGCTGGCATCCTTCCTGTAGTCTTTCTGGGAGCCCCTGGAGAAAGAAGAGAGATGCTACAATACACGGGGTGGGTAAGACGGCTGCTAGGCTTGTGGACCTGAGGTCGAAAAAGGGTGGGAAGTTGGCAATTCTAACAGCCCAGAATTGTTTGGTCAAGAATCAAGTCACATGATTTCTCTTTCTAGGAAGTCAAGTTTGGGCTTTTTCTTCATTAGGAAGAGTCTGGTGGTGGGGGCCAAGACCTCAAAGGAAAACAAGGGTACCCCACAAAAGACAAAAGCCCACCAGGCTAATGTGCCTGGGCAGAGAGGACTCCTTCCTCCTCTCGTTGCTGAGCAGGCGAGGGTGTTGGAGATGTCTCC